TTGCTTCAAATTCAACCGGAAATTAAAAATATCTCTAAAGATCTTTCAAATAATTTTGATTTTATTTAAGAAATCTTTTAATATTATTAAATATTATTAATAACACTGTAAATTAAAACTGAAATAATAGGAAAAAAATCTTGATATATTGAAAATTAAGATTAATAATAATTTTTATTTAAATTATCTTTAAATTAGTAACAAATGATACTACAACATATTTATTTATTATATCAATTAAAAATAATATAAAATTGACTTTTTTGTTAGACGAGTCTATGTAATAATATTTATGAAAATAAAATTAAAATATATATTTATAATAAAATTATAAATACCGTATATCATATTTGTATTAACACATATATTGAGATAATAATTTGAAAAAATAATTAAAATTGATTATTTCTATTTTATAGAAATATATAAGATTTAAGAAAGAAACTAAATAATAGATTTTTATATACAGTTATATTATTTTCATTAAAGTAAAATCTATGAAAAATATATAAGACATTACCTCATTTTAATTATAAATGCAGAGATTGTAAGTCATCAATTGATAATAACATTATTTTAGTTGAATTTTACTTTAAAAAACATCTAAACAATCATCAACTTATAAAATACAACTTATAGTAAATGATAAAATAATTTTCATATTATAAATCCATTGATGTGTTGAGTCAATTTGTTGTTTCGGTGCCAAACATAAAGTAAACTTGTATATAAAAAAAACTTAAATCTTACGATAACACACACACACATACACACACATAGAGTACTACCAAAAAAGTGGAAATATATTTTTTGATACAATGCTTATAATAATAGATTCGCAAATAGATTGACAGAGAGGATAGTAATGTAGAGGAGTGTATCACTTGGGAGGAGAAAGTAGTTAATTGACGGCCAATTCTATGACCGCCCATATAATCAAACAAAATTTGTTCACTGTTTAGTTTATAATTTTTTTTTCTTATATAATAATTTTTGTATTTTTATAAATAAAATTTATAGACTTTTATAATGAATATATTAATCATAAAGGCTATTACATTGAAATTATTTTTGAAATTTATGACAATGAATAAGTTAAAGCATAAAATATGAAATAAATAATTATTATTATATAAAAATTACTCATTATATAATCTACAGTAGTTTTTTTCATCAAAAATATATATGAATAGTTTGAAAGTTATATGAAAAAAGTCAACAATACAATAGCCGCTAAAAATCGACTTTCGATGAAATCTAAAACATTGAAAGCCTACAAAAAATCGTTGACTTTAAACCATAACAAATCTCAATAACAATGATGACAATTATATAGATCACACCCCATATCTCCCTTACCCATCAACCATATAATAATACTGTAGTATTAGTAATACTGTAATGAAGATAAGGCATAGATTCGAGTGTCAAATCGGATATCGAAATAATAATATTATTTTTAGTGAAATAAATTGTGATTTGTATACCTATACAATAAATTTAAATTTTAAATCTATTAAAATTTTGTATACAAATTTTATGTACATATTCAACTAGGTTTAACTACAATAGTATAACCTATTATAAACAATTTTATTTGAATTAATTTTGATGTAGAAATAATATAATAGACTGACAGATAAATAAAGAAAGAAAAATCTATTTGTTATTGATTTGAATGACCTGTGGGTTAGTCAAGAGTCACGAAAACACAGTTTTTACTCACTATTTTGCTTATCAATCGTAGAAATGATGACACTATCAACAAAAAAATAGTTTTGAAATTTTTGTTTGTTTGTCGATATAAGTTTTATTACACTGTATAATGTATAATATATGTAATGTCACTTATAGGCACAATTCAAGTAAAAGACATCCACTTATAATAATAAGAAATTGATACAATAATTATTACAATATTGCTATTAGTTGTATTTTTGGTATTATATTAAAATAAATATTTCAAAAATTAATTAATTTTAAGATATACTTTATATATACTATATATATACTGTATACGGTATTTTAATTTAAAGTAATGAATTAAACACAAAATTGAACAAAATATATATGATTTGATGAAAAGTTTTTTAAAAAAATAGTAATCATAATTAATAACCCAAAGTGAGGGGAGGTTTTTAGTGAATGGTTTAGCCATCCATTGGCAACAATATTGTCGGTATTGAAGAGCCCATTGAATGTGATATATATTTTTTGGACAATTAAGGATTGAAGAGATGGAACTAATGATCACTTGGTTATTACATTTCAACAAAACTCTGTCGATAACCATATGTTCTTTGATCTCATGACAGTATTTGATACACAAGTCATGGTGTGGTCACCGAAACGTGTCTCGTCTGCACTTGTCTTTAGGGATGACTTGTCGTCAATTTCGTGACAGTCTTTGCATTAAAATTGTTACCAAAAAATGTTTCCATTGGCTGATTGTGGAGACAATCTTTTTTTTTATATTTTTTTTGGTTCACTCGCATCACATATTATATAAGACTCTCACTTATGGGACGTCCGTTCAGTTGGTTTTGACTTTGATTGTGTTTTTTGGTATCAATGATTGAATTAAAAGCAGCAAAAAACATATTTCCGTGACTTACTGTCGATATCTTTAAAGTTTAAATAGTTCGCTATATTGCTTGTCGTTGTCTTCAATATATTTATTAAATATGTATTATTGTTCGTTATTTTTTAGTTACGGAACTAGTGATTGGTTTCTTGAATCATATAAATATATATATAGTTTTTTATCTTAAATAACAATAATAATAATAATTTTATATTTTCCCACTATTCTCTATTTGTCTCATGTAGTTAAATATGATTTATTTTATATTTTATTTAATAATTTATTTAAGCTTTTATTTATCATCTCTATTATATTATTAAATAATTATACTATATATTACTGTACTATAATTAGTGTTGGCAAAAAAGAGAAATTTATAAAATAATAGAGAAATTTCTAGAAAGTTTTTAAAAGAAATTTCTATCTATGAGATCCCCATGTTAATTTTGTTTTCTGGATATATGTTATTATGTAACAATACATTGGTTTTACAAGTAATAATTAAATATTAATATTTTTTATTATTAATTAAAATAAAAATTAATTTATTTAATTATCTTAAATTCTTATATATATATAATAAAATGATTATTAAAATTTTAGAAAACTGATTATTATTAAATAATTATAATTATTTTACATATAAGTATCGCATTTTGTATAGTAGTGTATAGTGTAATGTTATATGAATAGTAGTATTGTCTCATTATTTATATATTATTTCAATAGCTATAGATATGGGGATCCCATAGTATAACAATAAAGTTTAATTTCTATAGAAATTTATTCCTGAGAAATTTTCTAGAAACTTTCTCAGTGAAATTTATTAGAAACTTTCTATTTGCCCATCTCTAACTATAATGCTATGCTATGCTATCGTTTTATACAAAAAAAGTAGTAAATTATGCATTTTATATGTATTTCTTTGTCTCTGAAATAGATTTTGCCTCCAAATAGTTAGAGTGTTAGGTATTAATTAAGAAAGAAACTACTGTTTTGTAATTATATTGTTATGTAAGCATAGAATTCAACAAAATATATGTATTATTAGTTTTGCAGACAAAACCAATGTCTTGATAACTGATGATTATGTGAACTCATGTGTACCACAATAGGTATGACTCAAGCAATTCATTCACTGTTTATATATATATATCTCACGGGAACCTCTTATATGTCATTATATAAGCATTGCTATAAAAATGCATTCAAAACACAGTAGTCTGACGAGTGATTGTCATCACAATTATAAAGGTATATAAATGGCAATCGTATCATCAAAACCACTGTAAATTAAATATATTATCATTTAAAATGATTTAACTCTGAAATCAAAATATTTGATAACATAGTCAAAGTGAAAATACTTTCTCAAAATATGAAATAATTGAATTTAACTAATTTTGGTTATCCATTAGGTATATCTTATGTTATATCTATATATTTTATTTATCTTTTATTTTTTCATAACCCATATCATATTGTATGATAGAATTATATAATTTTATTTATAAGTATAATACTGTAAATTTTGTCTAATAGTTAATAGCAATACATACTATTACATGTATTACATAGTATAGTAGATTTTTAATATAATATTTATTAAAAATAATATAAATTTTGAACAAAATATTTGTAAAAACAAGTGAATGTCTTGTGGTTTAATTACTATGATTTGGTCGTATTCTTACCAAAGATAAGTCATATTTAGACCAATTGCTTATAGAATTAAGATTTATAATAATTGTTATAATTTCTGGGATACCATTGAAAGCATCTGTAATTATTTTTAACATTAAGTACGATATTATTGATTTAAACATATTTTATAAAATCAACTTTTTAAATAAATATGGATAAAACATAACTATAAGTAATTTCTGAAAACTCTCTCTTTCACAAACATAGATATACAGTAGTCACACATTTACACACACCTACCGTACTATTAACTACTTATTTATTGTAAGTAATGTGTTATGAAAAGGCTTTTAATTTTGTTGATAAACTTATTAAATATTACCGTAATTATAAACTTTACAACAGTTTTTTAAAACAGATGCCAACATTTTTAACTTTGATGTCAATAAGGAAACAAAACTAATAAATCTTATAAAAAAATTATTCAATTATATGGTAATTATTATTTAATATATGCTGATCTATACATTATATTTATACTGCATTTTATAATTTTAACTTTATTTTTATGTATCTTATGTATAAATATTGAAATTTAATTACTTGTAATAATTAGATATATTTTATTTAGTAGTATAATAAAAAATTTATGATTTGATTTACAATGAATATTATAATTTAACTAAAATATATGTAATAATATGAGATAAATACTCAATTGAGTATATTTAGTCAATTATGAGAACCGGTAATGAATTATAGTAAAAGCATATAAAATATTTGATTAAAATATAATATAAATAGAAAATACAAATGAAGTCAATTATAATTCAATCCAAATAAATGTCAATCATTTGCTGTTACGTAAACTTAGCGGTTGTTTCCTATCATTGGTTCCAAAATTATCTTTCATAATATCAACCAACTCTTCATTTACATCATCGTCTTCATCATCGACGCTAAATCTATAAGAAAAATAAAAACATTAATAAAAAAATAATTATAAATATATCAATAAATTTAAATAAAAAATAATTAAATTATAGAAAACAAACCTTTTCTTAAGTATGTCAACAAAATTCTTCAAATCATTTGAATAATTAGAGTCACCGACAATAGTGTTAATATCAGAACAGATTCTTCTCATATCTTTCCTGATCTTCATGTGATGAACTCTATAGAACTTCCACTGACTGACCAATGATTCGCTTTTAGCCTTTTCTTTCTTCAGTTCATTTCGTGTTTCTTTACATTTTTCCAAATATTTATTTAGTTTATCATTTAGTCTCACGTTTTCCGTTTGAATTTCTTTAAGTTTACTGTCGAGTAGTTCTTTGTCGGTCTCAACTGTTGTCACTTTTTTCTCCCAAACCTTTGCCTGATTTAGTATGAGTTCAAAGTTTCTGGCCTTTAATTGTTTCAATTTCTCAAACTCTGTGATCTTTTTCTCCAATTCTGATGTTTTGGACGCCTGTTCTGTCAAAAATTCCAACTCTTTGTTCAACTTTATGTTTGTCTCTTCTAATGAATTCAATTTTGTTTCCAAATTTAAGTATTTATGTTTAGTTTCAGTCAATTCAGTCATGAGATGCATCTTTTCTTGAAGAAGTGGTTCAATTAACTGCGATTCCATTGACTTGATTTCAGTCTCTTTGACCTTAATCTGTCTTTTAAGTCCTTCTACTTCTGTCTCCAATTCTTTACATTCAAGTTTTGCTTCCAACTCAACAATCTTTTCTTCAAATCCAAACTTTTCTTCTTCAAAACTCTCTTTAATTGTTTTCAATTCATTTCTCTTTACTTCCAATTGCTTCTTATATTCTTCCACTTCAGACATAAATTTATCCTTAAATTCATTAATCCTTGAATCAAATCTGAACTGTTCCTCTTTGAAACTCTCTTTAGTTGCAACCAATTCGTTATCTTTTGCCAGCAATTGTTGTTTATATTCTTCAACATCTGTTGCAAACTTATTCTCTAAATCGTTAAGTTTTAGTTCTAATTTGACTCTTTCTTCTTCAAAAATCATTTTATTTGTTTTCATTTCATTGTCTTTAAAAGTCAATTCTCTTTTATATTCTTCCACTTCTGTCATATATTTATCTCTAAATTCGATATTCATTGAATCATATTTTAACTTTTCATTTTCAATAATCTCTTTAATTGAGATCAACTCATTGTCTTTTGCCAACAATTGGTGTTTATATTCCTCAACTTCTGAAACAAATTTATTCTCAATTTCACAAATCTTTTCTTTGAATTTCAACGTTTCCTCTTTGAAATAGTCTTTAGTTGCAATCAGTTCATTGTCTTTTATTTCCAATTGTTGCTTATATTCCTCCAGTTTTGTTGCAAACTTATCTTCTAATTCTTTAATCATTGAATCTGATGTCAACTGTAGTTCTTTAATACTTTCATTATTTTTCAACAACTCATTATCTTTTGCTAACATTTGTTGTTTGTATTCCTCCACTTCACACAAACATTGATTCTTAAATATGTTGATATTTTCTTCATATTTTAACTGTTCTTCTTTGACGATCTCTTTAGTTGCAATCAAATCATTTTCTTTTGTCACCAATTGTTGTTTATATTCTTCAACATCTGTTGCAAACTTATTCTCTAAATCGTTAAGTTTTAGTTCTAATTTGACTCTTTCTTCTTCAAAAATCATTTTATTTGTTTTCATTTCATTGTCTTTAATAGTCAATTCTCTTTTATATTCTTCCACTTCTGTCATATATTTATCTCTAAATTCGTTATTCATTGAATCATATCTTAACTTTTCATTTTCAATACTCTCTTTAATTGAGATCAACTCATTGTCTTTTGTCAAGATTTGGTGTTTATATTCCTCAACTTCTGAAACAAATTTATTCTCAATTTCACAAATCCTTTCTTCAAATCTTAACTGTTTCTCTTTGAAACAATCTTTATTTGCAATCAGTTCATTGTTTTTTGTTTCCAATTGTTTCCTATATTCCTCAACTTCTGTTGCAAACTTGTCTTCTAATTCTTTAATCATTGAATCTGATGTCAACTGATTCTCTTTAATTGTCTCATTAGTTGCCAGCAATTGTTGTTTATATTCCTCCACTTCTGTAGTAAACTTGTTCACCAATTCCTTAATCTTTAATTCTAATGTCTCTCTTTCCTCTTCATAAATCTCTTTATTTGTTTTCATTTCAATGTCTTTATTAATTAATTGTTGTTTATATTCTTCCACTTCAGACAAATATTGATCTTTAAATTGTTTAGCTTTTTCTTCGTATTTCAATTGTTCTTCTTTGACACTCTCTTTAATTGCAACCATTTCATCGTCACTTGTCATCAATTGTTGCTTATATTTCTCTATTTCTGTTGCAAACTTGTCTTCTAATTCTTTAATCATTGAATCTGATCTTAACTGTTGTTCTTTAATAGTCTCATTAGTTGTCAACAATTCATTATCTTTTGCTAATAATTGTTGTCTGTATTCTTCCACTTCAGACAAACATTGATTCTTAAATTCGTTGATATTTTCTTCATATTTTAACTGCTCTTCTTTGACACTCTCTTTAATGACAACCAATTCGTTGTCTTTAGCCATCAATTGGAGTTTACATTCTTCCACTTCAACAGCCAATTGAGTCAATTCGTTTAATTGTTGATCTTTAAGATCCAATTCATGATTGACAACATCGACTTCAATTTCTAATTTAGTCTTTGAGTCAACCAATTTCTGGAAGTCATTCTTGAGACTCTCAAACATGTCTTTAGTGACCATTAAGTCCATGTGTTTTGTGTCCAATGATTGTTTCAATGACTCTATTTCTGACTCTAATGTCTTGCACTCGACTTTGGCCACCAATTTGTAGACCAACTCTTTGCACTCGAGCTCTGTCTCCAAATCCTGAAGAATATCATCCAATCCATAGAGCGATCGGTTTTCGGAGTCAAGAGTTTGGTTCAATCGATCCATAGTTTGGTCAGACATTGTGTCTGTGTGTGTCTTAAGACCAGTTGTTGCGGTGATAATCAATATCTGGTGTGAAGTGAATCAAACAAATGATAGTTTTGTCAAACAATTGTTATTCAAATGACAAACAATTTAATACATTGTGTTTAATGTCAAACATTAAGCCAACTGTTGGTCAATGAATACATAGATAACTGAAAACCAATTCAAACCAATACTTAACATAACATTTAAAACTCTCGATAAACGATATGATTGGCTCATAGAAGACATACATTCAATTCAATAGACTATTCATATATTAATTACGTTCACATAATTTGAAAAAGTTTTTTTTTAATACAGTATTAATAATCAATAATTTTATTAGTTTTTTATATAATAATAATTTATTATACAGTACTTAAAAATTTGAATAAAATTGTAAATTATATAAAATATTTTAAATTTTATTGTAACTATTAAAATTAATAACAAATAAACAAAGTAATTTATAAAATAATTACTAATTAATATGTAGTTAATAATTTATCAAAAAATTAGATAAAGCAATTAATTTTAATTAAAAATTTATTAATTAAATAGAAACTTTTAAATAAGGACTTAAAATTAACCAGAAAACAACAATTTTTATACATATATTTTATATTTATATAAAATTGACTAAATTTGTAATTATTAGATGATTTACAATTAGATGAATGATAAATATAAAGATAACATTATGGATGTGATTATTAGTTGTCGGTAAAAATAAAACACTAATCAAACCACAAATGAAACCAATTATGGAGTAAATGATTAGAAATATTATGCAAATGTTTGTCCATTTATTTGATGCATTTGACCTCCAATAGTGGTATTTAAGTACAAACCGATAGATTAGGACAATCACTAGATTAATAATAGTGGCCATTAATATCGATATAAATAGTATTATGTAATGATTAAAATTAGTATATTTAACAAATAATGCAAAATAGGACAACTATTTCCATTATTTCAATTACTTTAAAAGGATTGCTTTCTTAATAATGTGAATCTAATGGCAATTGTTTGCACAAAAACTGTTGCCTATTAATAGGTTTGGTCGGACCTAACTGTTCAATGCATTTATTAACATTTGCAGCTTATCTAACACCGACATCAATGTCTAGTATTTCAATCTGATTGATATAAATCAAGTTCTTATTGGATGAGTTGTCGAGTGATACGGAGGAACAGTCTTTCATAAGATGATTGTCTCGATTGGCAATCATTTTATAGACAACTGGTTTTTTCTTTCGGACATATCGTCTACATCTCAAACCTAATATTTGTGTAATGTTTGCCATTTTTATATTAAAAGTTGTAATATAATGGTCCGATTTGTCGTGTATACGTAATTCTAGGGTATGTCTCAAATAGTTGACTCTATAGTTGTAATCTTTTTTATTATTGTCATTTAAAATCATTTTTATTAGATATCTATTGGTCACTTTGTCGACATTGCATTTATCATATATTTCAATAATGTTTTCATATATCAATAGATTGACCAGTAATACGACACCAATGAAGACCAACCAAATTACTATTAGTATCACTAATATTAGTAAATTGTAATCAAATGTCATTTTTTGAGTTTATTTAATTTAAATCTTTATAACTATTTTTAGCGTCTAATCGTAAATTAAATATAAAATTTTTTAATTAAAAAATAATTATCGCGTTAATTAATAATATAATTATGCTATACTTGTATAATAATGCAATATAAATATATTACCTTATATTACAATATAATAACCTACAGGTAGTGTTAAATATATTAAAGTGATTAATTCAAAATTACTGTATTAACATAATTTATTTACACTATAGTATAAAATCAGTATATAAGTTAACTATAAATATAAAAAATATATCTTAACATTAATTATCAAGCTAAATAAAAAATATATTTTATTATAATAGATAATTAATATAAATTTACAGTAGATGATTTTATTTATTTTAGATTTTTTTGTATTAGCCAATTTAAGCATTTAAACAATTTATAGGAAGCAATAAAACAATATGAAATGTATCTAAACTTAACTATAAATACAATAAAATTTGATGTAATAAAATATAAAAATACATATTAATATTTGTCGGATTAATAAACATTAATTTGAGTTCATTTTGTGAATTACATTAAATTTTAAAAACTAATATTATATAAAAATTCTAATATACTGTATTAAATTTAAATTAGTTACAAAATATTATAGAAAATTAAAAAATTATCAACATTTTTTAATTTGAATAATTTCATTTTTTATTTTAAAATTAATAACTAATAGAAAAATTATTTGAAAAATTACTTTTGAAAAAAAACATTTTGTACTCATTATAAAACCGGTTGAGAAATATTATTTGACATGAATTTCAAAATTTTTAATCACATGAATAGTAGTATTTCCTAAAGGAACTGACATTTTATTTAATTATATGTTTATTAAAATAATCTTAAAAACCTATTGAAAGATATAGAATTTTTATAAAGATTTTTAAATAAACTTTTTTTTTATAAAAAAAATATCAATCGATATATAGAATATTTATTTCAAATTAATTAAGGTAAAACAAAAATTAATTATAACAATTTTAGTTCGTTAAATTAATTTAAATATACAAATTTGTTTTACATTGATTATCTTTATTTATCAAAAAAATCAAATAAATAGAAGGCTATCATAGGAGTCAAAAGATTCAATGCAATCATAAATGAAAAAAACAAATATAAAGCAAAAATTATATTTTAATAAAAGTGATGGCAAACAGTCCTTGCAGTTTGACGGCTATTTCAAGGATATATTTTGAATTATATTTTTAATAAATATATTGCTTTTAATAACATCACTTGTTATATGAAATCATATTATAATTAAAGGATAGTTTAGATGCCTATAAACATCCGATTGTCTAGCATGCGGTGAAACATTAAAAAATGAGTTTTACTTAATATCATTAAGTTTTTTTATTATTTAAAAAGTATTATTTCAATTTTAGTAATCAAGAATGATATTAGAAAAATAACAATATTTTTATTAATCGAGTTTTTATTAAATAATAATTATATAAAGTAGAAATATTTTTGCATTTATAAGATTAAATCAATTTTGAATTACAAATATAAATAGATTTGTTTAGCAATTAAAATGTGAATATATATTGAAAATTTTCACCAACTAATGACTCACTATATTAAGATGACATTAATATCTTATCTTATTTTTAGTGAAAAATATACAAGATTTATGACTTCAATTGTTTATAATTGCCTAAAAACAACTTTAAATTGAAAAATTATGAACTTATAAACTATATTATAGATACTGTATATAAATTTAAAGAAAAACCATTAAAGCAGAGTATTTGTAGAAATTAATAAGTATCAAAATTTGGTCAAAATTAAGAAAATTATTTAAAATTGATTTAATTGTGAGAGCATTTAAAGTGATACTTGAAATTTAGCCTAAAGTTATAGCTTTTATATTTGCTATCAGTGACAGTTAAGTAAAATTAATAAAACATTTTTGAGTATATAAAGCGGTTTTGATGATATTTTTCTCAATATTATTGAAAGTTTTTTTTGTATATATATTTATATGTATTGCCATTAGTTAGTATTTTCCAAAGAAAAATCCTATCAATAAATCTTTCAAATATTTGTTCATATCTTTGAACATTTTTTACGATTTTTAAGTTTTAATACAATTTTTTTAATCGTTTATTTTTAAACAAAGAAAACATTAAAATTATTTTCTATTTTTGAAAAAATATTTCAGCGTATATTTCCAAGTTATTACTATTTAAAAAATATTTATGAAATTAAAAAAATAATAATAATAAAATGTAAGAATTATTTGAAAAATAAATGTTAAATAATTTTTTTATTGAATCGTATAAAAATTTTGCTTTAAACACAAGTTGTTTAGTGACGCAAAACATATATATGTATACAATATATATATGCTTATATAATATTATATACCGGTATATAATTTATATAATTTATATATAATTATTAGTATTTATTAGAAGAATATTAAATGATATTAAAAGTACTTTTGATTGGAGAAAGTGTTGCAAAAAAATTTTTCATCACATAATTATTATACAAATTTTGAATATAAATGAATGCAATTTTTATATGTAATTAATTAAAAGAGTTTGAACTGCACTATAAAATTGTTATGACGTTTGAACGTCTCATTTATTAAATGAGTTAATCACGTGGTTTAATACATTTGGGTCACACTTTCGATATAAAAAATAAATTATATCAATTGCTTAGTTATATTAGATAACAATAGAATTTTTACAATGTGAACTCACCTTGGTACATTATTAACTATGATTATAGAAATAGTAGATAAATTCTAATTAAACTTGTTCATTACTTTAAATCACTGATTATCTATTTTTAAAAAATCATAATTAAAAATGCAAAATTTGTAGTTAGCCAGGGTTGATAAATTTTATTTTTATAAAATAAATCATTGCTACAAAACAATAACCTTGGCACATTACTTGTTATAAACAAATATAATTATTATACAATTATTAATAGACCTTTTTTTATTAATGTTTTGATGTTTTCCTGTTTTAGCATAAAAATTAATTTATGAGAATAAGAATAATAATCATTATTATAAAATTTAAATGTTTAGATGCAAAAAAAATTAAGTGTAAAAACAATTTATTATAAAATATTAAATATATTTGTGTTCAAAGTTTGTTAAGTATTACAGGTTTTATTTGAAAAGTTGTTTACTCTAAACACTATTTTTTTGTTTTTGCGAAACATTTTGAACGATAAACAATTTATTATACTATCAATTATACTAATAATTTGTACACTGAAACAACAAATTTAATTTAGGTTAACAAACAAATAATAATAATATCCATTTAGTTTTAGTATTAAAAAGTGAATTAGTGAACAAATTATAGGTAAAAATTAGTGACAAATAAATTACTGTAAAGTTTGATCGATGACGTCATACAAATTTTCTAACATGACCAATATACATTTTTACTTCATCATGCTAACTATAAGAATTTGAGCTATATACAATTGCTTTTAATATAAGTGTTAAACTATACATGTAATTATTAAAATATAAAAATTTGAAAAATTAGAAAAATAAAATGCCCACAAACTAAAAGTACATTTATTTTCTATAAGCAAATCACTCTATAGTAGAGTGAGTGGGTTCGAGTCCGGGGAGTTTTGTGCAGTTGAATACATTAATAAATACATTAAACATATAATTAGAATATCTAGTAATTCTATTTTTAATAAAATAAAAATAAATTATATTAATTGACAAATAAAAATATATTGTAAAAACTATAGAAAAATAATGTTACAATATATGCTAAATATAATAAATATATATTTCAAAATTACATATATCAACAAAATTATAATTATTATAATACATTTTCATATATAAAAAATCTACATAAATGTGCAAAAATTTAGTTTAAAAAATCATTTTTAGTTAATATATACTTTGTATATAGCAGTCGTAAAATTGTATATTTGTTTATTTTTATCAATAAAATGATAATAATGTTAAATTAGAGCAGTGTTTTGATTAATAATATGATCATAAATATGATCTAGATGCATTTATATATATTTATTATATATAGTATTTTATTGTAAATCAAACATATTTTTATGTGTAACACTAGTTTTTACAGTAAACACTATAGTACTGTAAATTTATAATACAGTATAAACTATACACTATATTGTACTGTATTTACTGCTTTCCCCTTACACTGCCTATTGAAAACACATTCATAATACAGTATACACTCGTAATGCATTTAATTAATATTAAAACAAATTAATATTATCCATTTTAATTAATATAGCAATCTTTAATACTAAAACAATTGCAATTTTATATATGTTATTGATTCAATAAAAAATAATATTTAAAAATACATAAATAAATAATTTGTATAATTTAATAGCATTGACTGTATTAATCAATTGATACAACTGTATGTTGTTGTGTAGTGCAGTGCATATCGTCATTGGTTTTGGGCTACAGTTTGGTAATAGTATTGAAAGTATATTGAAGTGAAAATACAGTACAATATATGAATGTGTGTTAAATAACATTCAGCTATAGTTTTCTATACAATATTACAGTATATATGCTATGATATTATTATTATTATTATTATGTGATTACTATATGTGGTGTTGACTGTTGAATGGCTATTATTATTATTATTGGTAGACATTGAAGCCATCAATTGATTTTGATTTGGATTTAATTCAATTAAAAAGTATTGTCTTTGTTTGGCATCAATTAAGTGATTGTCTGTCTATTTGTTTGATAAACAGTTTGGTATATATTTCTTAAGTAATAAAAGCGATTCAACGCTACAAATGTAATGTGATTTTAAACCATTGGTTTCATAATAATAATAATCACAACAATATTTATCAATAAATTGCATTGAATTTTGAATCAATCATATCATATGAATTGTCGACAATATATGATATTTTGATATCAGATGTGACATAAAGTGATCGACAAAGATGAGGAAGAATAGCGAAAAACGTAAAGAAAAGTCGCGAAAAGCGGCCCGAGAGAGGAGATCCCAAGAGTCTAAGATATTTGATCAAATCGAGGGACTCATTCCCGTCTACAACAAAGCCATCAACCACTTGGACAAGGCTTCACTCATCAGACTTGCCATCAATTATCTCAAAGTCAAACAACTCATTGAACCCATCAATAAATGTATTAAATTGTATTTAATTGTCTTTATTGATTGAAAGTGCTTACGGAAAGTCACCAAATGGTTGATTCAATCAAATGATGTTAAATTTGGTTTAACTAACATTTCTCTCATTTATCTTATTTACAAACATATGCTATAATTTGTATTTAAATTATATCATTATTGAACATTGATTTATATTAAGGTTTGGTTTGAAAATTTAATTGTCAGATCATATGGTGTTTATTATTTAATTTATTATAAATTATACATCATTTTGATAAACATATTATTTTCAATAATATATTTGTAAAACACTTGATCTTTGATTTTTTGGGTCCAATGCCTTCCTTGTTATTAGTGATATGATTGCTGTCCGATCACCATTACTATCTTATTTAGCCTAATATTAATTTCTATGATATTTACTAAATGATTACCAATTAATTATTTTTACTATTTTTAGATTTTTTTCGGTGAAAATTATTTATAAATAAGGCTTTTAAAAACAGTGTATACTTTTACTGTAATTTACTGTAAATTTTGTGAATCAAATAATCAATGCAATTATCATAAGCCTCTCAAAGCGTCCAAACCGGACACAGGTATCTGAATCGGACAGTGACCCTAAAGTTATTGTTTATTTGGTGACTCTCCGTATGTTTCTTAAGTTTGTTCCCAAAGGGGAATATAACAGATAAATAAACAAAGATTATTAATAACATATATTATTATTGATTTTAATTTTTTAATTCGTTATATAAATTTATTTTTGTTTTTCAAATGAAAAGGTGTCTCAAGTCTGAAGCCTGAAAGCGAGCTAATCATTGAAGAGAATGCGAGCACTAAAGCACTCAATGGTTTCCTATTAGTTCTTTCTAAAGAAGGAGATATGGTTTACATCTCCGACAATGTCGACCAATATTTGGGATTAACTCAAATTGATTTAATCGGACAAAGCATTTACGATTACACCCATCCATGCGATCACAACGAAATTAAAGACGTGTTGGCGCTCAAGAATGTACGCCAAAGTGATGATCACAAAGAGATGGATAATAAAAATAATCGCATCTTTAACTCAATTTTGGTGCGAATGAAGTGTACTCTTACAAGTAAAGGACGAAATTTAAATCTAAAATCAGCCTATTATAAGGTTTTAATAAATTTATTGATTTTGACACATAATAAACATATTAATTGACTTATGTTTGTATGATTTATCAGGTGATCCACTGTAGTGGACATATTAAGATTGTCTCAAATAAAGAAAAAACGAGCGATCATTCAGAATTAGTGTCACAAACGGCCAATTATTTTATGATTAATATATGCGAACCAATTGAACAGCCAATGTCTGTCGATTTGCCATTAAGTTCTCATATGTTTATTAGTCGTCATTCTCTTGACATGAAATACACAGACGTCGATGAAAGGTTTGATTTAATATTTTGGATCTTTTTTTAAAATTATTGACATTTTTTATTTTTTTTGTTGAAGTATTCACACAATCGTCGGCTATAACTCTAAAGAGTTGACCGGAAAATCTCTTTTTAATTTTTTTCATGCATTGGATTTACAACAATTAGAAAAATTTTTCAAAACTTGTAAGTAAATTATCAGAGTTTCAATTGTTTACTATTGGATACTACTATACTTACTTTAAATAATTAAATATTAACTTACCGTATACTTATAAATTATACTGTATAAATATGATGATATTTAATATAATTGAGCCAATTGTATGTTGAGTAGTACCAGTTGAGGCAACATAATTGTGCATTTTTTAAAATATATATTATATATATAAATAAGTTATATATATATATATATATATATATATATATATATATATATATATATGTTTTTTATATTTATATATATATATATAATGAGAACTAGTGAATAAGAGATTCACTAAAATTTTTGTTGGCTTTATTCTAATGTATGTGTAAACTAAATCATTAGTTTATATTATTAAGTCTACATTTCCCATACGGTAACTGATATTAAAAATAATTGCATCTAAGAGTTTAGGCAAACGATTAGTTTTTAAAGACAAAATGAGAGTAAAAATGTAGAAAACTTGAAAAATTTGCCGTTAAGTCCTTGACCGCAAACAGTACTAACATTTTCTAAGTTTGACATTTTAGGGCTGAGCTGTACTATTGATGTAATTGTAGTATTTTTGTTGCTTTATGAGGACTGTCAGTCTATTCTCGATTGTTTGGATTGAATCCAGAATCTCTTCCCTTTCCCTTCGGTTACTATTTTTTAATATATTATAAATTGTCTTATTTTTATGCTATACATTGAGTGAAAAATCTTGTGAAGCGAATCACATTACTATTACGTGTATTACAGAATATTCTTGTCTTTTTCATTCTTATCCAAGAACTTCAGTGTTTCCTTAAAAAGTTAAGTAAAAATCAATGAATTAAATATATTTCCTCATTTCGTTAATTATATCAAACTTAAACGAGTATTAAACTATTAACATAGTTATCAATTATTTACTGTTTTGTCAATTTGTTAATTATATTTTTAAATGAAAATAATCATTCCTTGGAAAAAATATTTCATGTTTATTATATATATATAATTACACTTTAAAGTTAATTTAAGCATTTGATTAAATGTATTAATGGTTACAGTATTTATACTGTATATGTTATTTCATGCTATTATAAACTTTTTTATATGTATTATAAATAATTGTTAATATATATTATTGATTAGTTTTTCATATTGAATGTGTCGATTCATTTTGTGTGTGATTATTACTGTTGAAAACTGAGTGTACTTTAATGTTAACCAATGTATAAAACAGTAGACAATAAACTACATTCTGTGGACCTAATCATTGCAATTATTGGGTTGAGATTAGACAACAAAGTGTTGAAATAAAAAACACTTATTTATATGTGTTATCTGTGTTTGTTTCACAAGAAGTTTTGCTGTTTTATAAAAGTATTTGTCGAAAAAATATATATCAAAAACTATTTGATGGTTTGTATCATAATTCACACCATAATATCACATGTGGTTGTGTTTTAAGTATAATTTATAATATAATTTCATAGAGTCATAAAGTGTATTTCAATATTGTCGTTTAAAATTGCAAATCATTAACTTTTAGGTATGTTTTAAATGTTTGATACTTAATTGATGTATTGTATTAAAATATATATAATATTGAATAATATTTAAATATACTACTTTTGATATCCTTTTTTTTATTATTTGCTTTGCTTTAATAGATTTTTATTGTCTTAATTGGTATTTACAATAATTTAAAAAATAAATATATGTTGTTTTTAAGTTTGAAATTTATAGAGAAATGATTGGTATTTATTATGCAGTAAATAGCATTTATTAAATGTTATTTTGAAAAATAATTAATGAAAGTCACGATGAAGTGAAATATTGGATATTTAGTGTACAATAAATTATCGATAGCTATTTGTCACTACAATAATATATAATTTAATTGATTTAAAAATTCATTTGGCATACATTGGGGTCATATAATGTAAAACTCATTCAACTCTCAATGCCTATTGATTTTTTAATTGCAATTTTGCTTATTAAGTGATTTGTTTAGATTAGTGACAAAAAAATCATTAAATTAGTCGATGAGTGAATTAAACAGACATTTATAACTTAATTTTCAATTTTCTTTATAATGTAAAAATAATTTTCTCTTTTCAACGTTGTGTTGGATCTAAATATAAGTTTTAACGTTTCTATTTATATATTGTTTTTTTTGTTTAAAATAAAACAAATATAAAATGAACTATTAATATGTGTTATCTTTCATTATCTGAGAATATAATTGTATGTAAAAACTTATTATATTTTTAAATATTTTAATTGTAATACTTAATAAATCATTAAAAGTTTTTTTAATAGTCGAGTATAGACTTATGTTTTTAATACTTGAATTAACCAAGACAACATATTTATTACAAATTAATGTTTTATATTTAACATGATTTGCTCATATATTATCAAAAAATAGATTTACATAAATGATAAGCGCATTACTATATTGAAAGCACAGTTATATTGGTGTTTAGACAACCAATTTTCTTATGACTTTCCTTTACTCTCTATTCATGTTTTGTTAGTCTGTTAGTCGCCTTTAATAGTAAACTTTAATTGATTTATGTCACAAAAATATTGATCAATAAAACTAATATTTACGTATATTTGAATGTATAGTTTGTTATATTTTTAGTTAAGAAAATAATAATATATTTTTATTTTTGTTATACAAATATATATAGTGTTTGCCAAAGGCCAGAGTCTCTCCAATTATTACAGATTTTTGGCCAAATCTGGTGGTTATCTTTGGTTACTGACTCAGGCGACTGTTACCACTGATAGTCACTCATCTCAACCACAATCTGTTATTTGTATTAATCATGTCATTAGGTGAGCAAAAAATAGTTTGTTTCTCAAACTTAACGTTTATTTTTTTAGGAAAATAATTTAAAAACAATTGAGTATTTAAATAATGGCAATGCATATATCAATTGATCAAATTTTTTTCCTGTTTTATTATTATTATAATTTTTTCTATTATTATTAATATATGTATTATTATGACAATAATGCAGTTATAGCTGTATTTAATGCTATATTAATAATTAGGCAAAAGTCCAAGGCTTTCACTTAAATGTGAATACATTGGCAGTACTTTAACATAAAGAAACTAAGATTTGTTACTATTTTTTAATAATATGAATACTATTTTTTTTATACTAATTACTAAATTTAAGGTAATCTAATTTATATTATTTATAATATATCATATGTTACATTATATTATATAGTTATTTGAATTATTGCTTAAATAATTAACTTAATCTTTTATAGTATTAATTTTTTGGTTATTATATTTAACAATTTTATTTACAACTTTATATTAGAAATTAATATCAATTATGTAATTAGTATTCAACAGTTTTATGTAATTTAAACAACACTTCTGTATACTATATACAGTAGTTTTAATGTATTGAAAAAATATAATATAATGTAAATTAAAACTTATGTATTGTATTATACTATTAGTGGTATTGTGAACGAGAGTGAAATTGTATCCGAAGAACAATGTATTGATGAAAGACGAGAAAAGGATAGACAAGTTGCACCTGTAGTAAAACGTATTGTTCAATTGGAGACATCGACCCGAAATCCGGCACCAATACCACTGCCAGCACCTGTACCGGCACCGACACCATCACCTGTTTCTGTTCCATTTGTGTCGAGTACTAAAACAGTGTTTGCACCAAAAACAGCTGATATGGATAATGGTTTCATTGTGTTTGATAACGCCAATCACATGACATATCTTCCCGATCCTGAAGATTTGACTCATTTAGCTCCAGAAGCTGCTGGCGATGACTATTGTGTCCCATTTCCTGGACTTTTGGCCGAATTCAATGAACTAAATTTTTTTGACGAAGTTTTTCTCAATAATAACGATACAAACGCTAACTTATTTTCAGATGAAGATAAAGTTAAGCTTAACGATGATTGTCTTAACCACTTGAATGACATAAATATCTACAATTCAAATGTCAACGATTTGAGCGAACCATTTGTTACAAAAGCAAACGATAATTCACTTTATAAGACTGTAACCCAACAGTTCATCAAAAGTTATCCTAATTATAGAGATAACGTTAGTGCAGATGACTCGCCATTACCTAATGATCCTCTGCTGTCATATCATGAAGAGCTTTACTCAAACTCTCAATCAACTGATTCATCCGATCCATATTCAAGTGATACAAACTCTCCGCTCAATTCATCGCCGGTATTAAGTCAGACGTCAAACTTCTTTTACAAATCTCCCACTGAAAAGGTATCGAAAATGTCTTTAAACGATAAAAATGATTTACTCGACGATAAAGTTCTTGAGATGAGAGCTCCTTATATTCCAATTGACGAAGACTTTCCTCTGGCACTTGACGGAGATCTTCAGTTGAATTACTCGACAGCAACTATGGATGACTTCAATGCATTTGACAATATATGTGGAGACAAACCGTTTGCCACTTTCGATGCTATAAACAAACCTTTGGTTACTATCGACAGTCCTTTGCCTCCAAAAGCTCATTGTTTGGAAGCATTGCTCCAAAAGGATTGCAAACAACAAAAGAGAGGACGAAGTAATTCAAAAAGGGATAAACAAAAGTCAACGACTGATAATTTAAAGTTAATTAAAGCTAAATCTAATATAACGACAAACAAAGGACAATCATATGTTGACAATAATATAAATAATATCAATTTAACGGCAAAACAACAATTTGTTATGAATGCCAACAATTTGTCGCAACGAAATCTATTCAAACAAACTGACAATGATTTAATAAAGTTAACCATCAGTTCCAGCAAAAGACCGTATGTTAATGAAACAAATGATATCTTATATAACACTTCCATTACTGAAGTCAATCCTAATGATAGAAATCTGAAGAAACAGACTAATGAAATGATACAAAATAATAAAAAATTTAAAATTAATAATCCAATCAATGCCATGAATAATACAAACTATGAATTAAATAAAGGTATGTGTTTGCGGTAATTAATTAATTTTTATAATAGTATCGGTAAATTAATTAAAAAATTATTTTTATATAGCAAATAGTGTTTTAATGAATCTATTGGTCAACGGTGAGGATCTAACTAATGGATATTCAAAATATTCAAACATCGATAGAAATCGGGGCCAAAAATTATTAACAGATTTCAATGCAAATAATATAATTAACAAATTGTCAAATTCAAAGACACATCCAAACCATCCAATAGTTAATGGATTGGGATTACGATGAAAATGTATTTATCGGTTACTATTTTTTTTTTGTTTTGTTTAATTAACAACATTTTTCAATGTTTAATAAGCATTCATTTGTATGGTTGGGTCCGGGTCTTTACTCAAGTTAAATATAATAAGTATTTTTTTAATTGACTACAAAACCACATATATATATACGAGTTATATACACAGTATATATCTATGTTTTCTGGCATTAAATGCCATGATTTGTGTTCACTATTATTTGAAATATGTTTTACATAATATTAAATGATATACAGTTGTTGTTGTTTTGTGAGTTTTATGTCATTTACAAGATATAGCCAATGAACTAATTAATTGATTACTACTTGGGAGACAAAACGCCAGCTAAAACATCTGAGAAATGGATTTAATTACCTATTGTCTGCTTTTTTGTTTGTCATTTATAACTATATATTAAAGTATGTCTAAACAATAGATGTCTCATTTGTGATCTATGAGTTAAAAAAAATATTTATTATATTAAAACACATATATTTATATAATTAAGATTTAAATGGAAATTAATTTTTTATAAAAAAGAAACATTTTAAAAACAAATTACTTGTTTGCCTTCAAAATGACTAAAAGCAAAACAACTAATTGTATTTATATAATTTGATTATATAATGTTATTTTATGTATATATTTAACTTCGGGTTAAAGTGATCTTCAACTTAGAGTACAACATATAATTAAAATTTCAATTTATTAGTAATAAATTCTTACACATTATATTAGATTATTTGATCATAATATCACAATTTAAATGTAAATCGTTTTTTGTTTTGTTTAATAATTTATAGTTTGTTTTGTTTAATTATTATACATTATATAATTATCAATGAGTTTTTTAGACAACTTTATAAACTTTTATTTTAGATGTGTTTTGTTTGTCTCATTTAAACAAAACATTATATAATAATTCATAATGATAACCATTTACTGGTAGTAAACTAATATTTAATAATTATGTTAATTTGTTTCAATTGCACACAAATATATTTTTGAAAATCGATATATATTACCAATCAATTATGATTAAATATAAATATATTTCTTTTCAATTAACTTATAAATTTTAGTTATATTATAAATTGTCATTATAATTATTTTTCTTTGTAATAAAATTTATATATAAATAAAAATAAAAAGTTTATTTAATAAAATACATTTGTTATTATTTATACTGAATTTTTATTAATTTAATGAAAAATAAGAAAAATGTTGAATCTATTGAATTGATTGACAAATATTTAATTTGAATCAAATATTATCCGACAAATCATTTGATGCAAACATTATTTTTATAGTAAATCTATTAATTAAATTAATTTTTTACTAAATTAATTCAGTGTTTAATAATAATAATAATAATTAATATAAAAAACTTAAAAAACTGGTTATTCATTGAATTGATTGACTCATTGAATGTCTGATAGTCTGTGTCTCCATCTGTGAAGAGTATAACGAGTATTGTATTGACAGACAATTGACTGCAAAAAATGGTGGATCTGTTGTCAGACAGAAGTGGCGGCATTTGACACGACAACTGACGACACGAGTTATTATACAAAACAAACATCAATTGTCATTCATTTGGGATCCGATCGACCACTTGACCAGTCATGCGGTTCGCGTTGAGGTCGTTGGATGACTCAAACAAAGAGGTGGATCTGTCGGTGGGAAAGACAACACTCGGCAGAGGAGTACTTCTTGATGTATGTCAAACCATACGATTGCTATAAAAGACTATTTGTATCAATTGTGGTGATCTGATGATAGCTAAGTGCTATCGATGGTCACGACATTGTCATCAGTTATATAACTGTATTGTTTGACTGAAACAATTTGAGTCAAAATGTTTTAAATACTCTATTGTTCTTCAGTTTAGTGTTTAGTCAACCATTAAACACATTAGACATCTCTTTTAAAACTAATGATTATCTGAAATATATTTACATTAAATGAATGAATTAATTAATGTCTTGTTTTTTGATGATTTGTTTCAGTGCTCAGACAAGAAAGTGTCCCGAAATCATGCCTACATTGAAGTGTCCAATTCGGGTGAAATCAGCTTAACTTCGGTATGTATGTTATGAATGACCAATTAGGTGATCATTTGGATAGAAAGCTCAAAATGTGCTAATAATACATACAATAAATGAATTAGATTTTTGTCTTTGATTATGACTTAACCTTTTTGTTGATATATTTCTTATGATATGATTAGCAACACGTGAATCCATGTTTTTACTATTCGAAAGACTCGAACAGTTCGCCGAAGATTATTAAGAAAGATATGTCTCAAGAGTTGAGTGACGGCGACATATTCAGTCTTTTGGCCAATAATTATAAATATCAAGTGATTATTGATTTGGACAACAATGCAGCCAAACCTGAGACCAATAATAATAATAATGACAAGAAAAGTGATGAAAAAATACACGAAGAGAACACAGTTAATGGCGAAAGTGAGGCCACAAAGAATGACACAAAAAAAGAGTCGAAAAAAGTTGAAGAAGACGACGACACTAAAGATAACGATTCTGTCGCTTCGGATCTTAAAAGAAATGATAAGAAGGTTGCAAATGACGAGAAAAATAAACCAAAACTGAATGACAGCGAAAACAATGTCGAAAAAGATAAGAATAAAGAGGAAGAAGAGGACGAGGAAGAAGACGAAGAAGAAGAAGAAAAGGATGGAAAGGAAAAGAAAGAAGAAATCAAAAAGAAAGGCAGACCTCCTGGTAAAGGACGAGCTGCTCAGCCGCAGAAAAAGAGTAAGAAGGATGAATCAGATGAAGAGGTTAATGAAGATGAAGAGGCAGAAGACGATGAAGAAGACGAGGAAGAGTCTGAAAGTGACCACAAAGCAAAAGGTCGTCAAAAAGGAAAAGCACCGACTTCTAAAAGAGGACGTCCTAAGCGTTCATCACAACCATCTAAACCTAACAGCAAACCCGTCGATTTAGGAGATTATGATATGAGTGATGAAGAATACATTTGGGAAGAAAGTGAATCTGAAGAAGATTACAAACCAAAAAAGAAAGGTCGAAAAGGTGGAAGTGATTCAGAAAGTGATTGGGAAGTTGAACACAAACGCGGTGGTCGTTCAGCTGCTAAAGCACGGACCAGATATCATGAAGAATCAGATGAATCTGACAGCGATTGGGGAAAGAAAAAGAAAAAGGTATGCATTTTATTATAGTTAATGTTTTAATAATTTGATTGAATTTTTAGAAAACACCCAAAAAACCCGCTAAAAGACGTCAGAAACCCACCCGAAAGAGTCCACGTAAAAGAATGAGTGAATCTGAAGACGAAGTTGAAGATCTTGATGATGGCGACGAAGAAGAAGAAGAAGAGGAAGAAAAACCGAAAAATCGTCGAAAGTCTAAACGTGACGAATCGGATGATGAAGAAGAAAGTGACGGAGATTTTAGAGGTGGTCGCAAAGGCGCCAAAAAGAGTCCTAAAAAAGGTGGTCCCGGAAGGCCTAAGAGAGAGGCAGCCAAACGAGGTTTGGGTCACTTCTTATCGTTTATTTCATTCAACAATTTTTTATTGATATTAATGTATGTCTTTATGATATAATAGGGACTAAAAAGAGACAGAGAGATGAAGATGATGACGATGAAGATGAAGAGGTCTCTGAAGAAGAATCGGCGTCCAAAAAGAAACGAAATTCACGAAAATCTGACGACGAAGAAGAGGAATCTGAAGGCGAAGATATGGATAGTCTTGTAAAAGAGGCCAAAGGGTTTGTACGCAACAAGAATTTGGCCAAAAAAGTGTGAATACATTTGATTTCTTGAAAATAAAATCGCATAACAAACAAGACTAACGACAAATCGTTTCATCTAATCATCCATTGATTCAAACGAAATATCATCTCTTTATATGCTATTTTTAAGTTCATATTTTGAATTATTAAATGATTTTTTTTTGTATTTAATTTGAATTGTAGTTTATTTAGTAATATTATCGGTATTTTTTAATTTCTATTTGAAAGCATTTGTAATATTAAAACGATATATTCCTAAATATATCACAAAGCAATTTAAATAACCATTTTATCCTTTTTTTAAAAAAAAAATATGTTTTGCACAAACAAACTAATGTTATGAAACACAACAAACAAAAACAAAAATTATATAAATATTTAAACTTTTATCATATTTTTTTATTTATTACACTTTTCCGCAAATAAGTCCTTTTCATTATTTATATATAAATGAAATATTTCGTACAAATTGTCAATTTTAATATGTATTTATCAAAATTAACATTAGTATAATTAAAAATAATTATTATGTATAAGTCTATATTTGGTGATGATTTTAAAAATGCTATTCAGGTATACCATTATTATTATTATATTGATTGAAATAAATCAATTTTTAAATGTGACTAAAATGATAATTTTACTTTATTTAATTTACATTCATATAAATACAAGTTAAATAAAACTAATATATTTGATAAATGAAGTGAAAAATATGCAATGAAATGACAATTTTTCTGAAATATATAAAATAAATGACAAAAAAAATCGTTGAAATCAAATATTATTTAGATTTGATTTGTGTCCATATTTTCTGAGTCCTCTTCACTGAAGGATCGTTTAACACCACCTTTGAATTGATATCAAAAGATTAATAATTATAACAATTATTTTATAAGTTTCATAAATATATAAACAAAATACCGGAAGATGCGAGAGGTATTCCTCGCGCCTGAAGTATCGGTTCGTACTCTTGAAGCTGTTGGCGGAAACCCTCGTTCGGGAAAATACAAAAACGTTTGCTTTGAACGACACGAATAGCCTGATTGGCGGTCTATTCATAGGTATAATCGTTAAAATAAAAACTCATTAATTAAAAATATATTGCAAATAATTACCAAATTTTGTTTTTCCATAATATATGCGATAACCAGAGCAGCACTTCTAGAGATACCGGCGTTTCCGTGAATTAAAACGGCTCCTCTCTCTTGGAAACACTCGTCAATGAATCGGCTAACCTATTGATCACAACAATAAGCGACAATTATCACACAATTTCTAACTTTCACTATACTTACGACAGGAAAGTGTGGAATTATCTGTTGTGTTGGTGTGTCTGCAATGTCCAGACATAAGTACTTGTATTTCGATGGAAAGTTGGGTCGAATCCAATGGCTTTCAATGTCTTGACGGACACAAACAATATGAGTGATACCAACTCGACACAACTCTTCTTCCTGAATCAAACAATCAAAATATAGCCTATGTTTTCATCAAAAGAGATAATTGTCAAATCAAGTGACCCGACCTTTGTCTTGAGTGCGGCCGCGTACGGACCCAACCATAGATTCGGTACAATTTGCTGCATCTGACGCCTCATCGCATATTCCCATTCCTTAACAAAGACATTAACAATCAAACCGATGGATCAAAAAATATAGTAATCATTTGAAAAAATCAATTCAAATAGACATCACATACAAAATTTGCCGCATTATTGTCATCGACGGTATTGTTGTTGTCTTTTATCGCCTCGTTTTGGTTCATCTCGTCCTCTGACGGCTGGTCACCGAAAATCAAAGACATTTGTTGGCAATAATTGTTTTAAGTGACCAATTGGTTGACCAATAGTTAGATGTAATCGACAAACAAATTGAATAAAAACAACAAAAACTGTAATCAAATCAAAACAATACATCAAATAATCAGTCGATTCATATGATTATTATTATCACTAAATTCAAAGTGTTTTCAATTGATTATCAATTCAATCATTCATTCATTCAATTCATATATTATTATTGCTTTCAAACAGTCTTTTTGACTAACAATTGATAAATTGATTTCAAAAACAAAACGAAATGTTTTGAATTTAAAATATACTTAAAAAACACTAATTAGAGTCTCATTCATGCAATACCCGACCCAAACCTATGTCTATAAAATTTATGTTTTTTATTATTATTGAAATAAATCTATGATATTTAATCATAAAAAAACTTTTAAGTTTATTATAAATTTATTTGTTTAATAAAATTAGTTTGTATTAATTTAATTTAATATCTAATGTATAAAACTAGTTAACAAATTAGATACCAAACCGTATGCTAGTTTGAGCTCTAGTTTTGAATGGCAGACTACAGTTATAATGTATAGTAATTACATTAGAGAGCGACACATATTTATAATGCATTTCATAATTCAATAATCAAATTATTTTATTGATAATAAAAGTGTGGACAAGAATCTTACGAATCTACTAATAATTATCTTTAAAATATCCAAATAAAAAAAACTTACTTTTAGTTGAATGATGAGATATACTGTACAATAATGAATCACTTTTTAATGATATAATAACATCTAAAAAAAAGTTTCAATTAACTGTTTAAGTTTTTACTCTTGTTTTAATTCACGTTAATATTGAAATTAATTGAAATCTAAATTTTTAGAAATCAAATGTTCAAAAAAAACATTTATTAAATAAAAGTTTAGTTCTCGTGATATAAATATTTGTCATTTTATATATAGTATTATATTTATATTATATAATTTATATTTTATATTAACATTAATTGTTAATTTTATATTTATATTATATTTATGTTATTTTACTATACTTTATCTTTTATTTATTTATTTTGTTTTTTATTTAAGTGCTTTTTGGAAAACTTAATGGCGAAAGATTTATAAATTATTAATTTTGATATTTATTAGTAAATTAATAATTTTGAGATTTAAGTATAACAATAAATTTAAAGTAAAATTTTCATATAATAAAATAGTATTAAAAAATAATATTTACTAGCTGGTACATTTCAAATATTAAAAGTCAATTATTTATATAATTAATAATTATTTACAATACAAATTCTTTTATATTTAGTAATTTTTTGGACTATATTTTTTGACAAAAATTTATTATATTTTTTTATAAATCTTACATTTTTCTAATAAACTAATACTTTATGTACAATATTATTACAGTATTATAAGCAAAGATTATTTTAACGATTTAGTTATAACTTGATATTTATAATTTTTTATTGCCTTATGTATTGGCTAACATACTTAAAATTACTATTATATAATTATAACAAATTAAATATGAATTTAGAAAAATAAATGTTTAAATATATATTGAACTTAAAAATTATAAATAACTTTCAATTAGAGTTAGTAAAAGATTTTTGTAGTCAATAGCTATTTTTATTGATATGATTAAAGTTATATAAATTGTTACAAAATGAATGTATATATAATTTTGATGATTATAATGATCAGTGACTCGAGATTTAGTGAACAGTTAGGTGTAATGTGTTGAATGGTATAACTTATATACATTAATATACAGTGAATGTATGGTTTATCCATATGACGCCTATCTTGTTAATGGCATTCCTGTACCTCTCTATCCAAACAAACAAATCAAAGCGTTTTCAAGTGAACTCAACAAACTAACCAAATGTTATTGTTGTTATTATTATTAGCATTATTAGTGTAATCATTATTATTGCTTATATAGACGTCTCTCAATGTGCTGATTGAATGCCTGCAATATATCGACTCATTTATATAAGTGTTTCCTCTCTATCCATACAATAACAACATATTCTCTCCTATCAGTGCTTTATTTGCCTCCAATATATGCAAATCAAATGTAATATAAACTTTTACTTATTATGATATATATTTAAATGTCAGTTAAACTGTACATATACTTAACTTTATAAACATATATAAATTACATACTTTTGTTTTTATTATTATTATTATGCCTAACATTTTGATATAATTAGATAACTCATAAATTTTACTCTTATTTCCTTTTATTGATCACTAATTATAGACAATAAGTTTCATTACATTACAACTAATTTTTTCTCCGCTAGTTATTTGTGTAATTATTTTATTTAAAATAAAATCTTAAAATTTATACAATTTTTTTAAAGCATAACTTAATCAACAAATAATTTAATATATAATTATATATTGTTATTTTTAAAGTGATAATAACTGATTGAGCAATTTATAAATTATTGAAAACATAAAAATCTTTTATACTGTATAGTAAATTAACAAAAATTAACAATTGATAAATAAAAATAAAGTTATATTAAGTTTTTTAATAAGTATACAAATGTTAGCTGTTAATTACATATGAATATTAATTTTATTTAGTTTGAATTTAATCATAAAAAGCAAATAAATCATTAAATTAATTTAGTTACAAAGTTTATATAAGTTTTTTTGTAACAATCCTTATATGACTGTCCATTGCATACATTATACAGTATATACAATATATACTGTAAGCAGACATTGCTTACATTTGAACCACTATTTGAAACACTAATGCCATTAAAATTGAAACACATTTAAACTGTCAACTGAGACAACTATTTATATTATTAGCAAATGTTTATTAATTGTATATTTTGTACTAAATTTTAGTTTTCTTCAGTCTCTACATAAACATTACTTTCTTAACAAAAATTGTTTATTTCGAGTCTATGTTTCACTTAATTTATTCATTTAATGACAAAATATAATTCTTTTTTTTTCTCTCTCTCTCTCTCTCTCTCTTTGCTTAATAATAACAGTAAAATAATATATTACATATGAAATAGCAGATCTCCATAATTATCATAAGCATTGAATTTATTCAATGGTTTTAAAAATGAGTTTATATTTGATCCTTCAATTATCAATAAACTAATAATAATAATAAAATTAAACTGCTATTTTAAACCGCAATAAACATTTAATGTATTTTATTTTTAAACAAATCATTTTTATTTATTCAATAATGAAATATGTTTTCAATAAATTAATTTATACAGTATAATTATAATTATTAATTATAATTTATTATAAATAACTTTAACATCAAATAAGATTTATCTTATATTTAGCATAAGATTTTAAAACGCAATTATGACTTAATGTTTTCAATAGTTATAGCAATATTGCAATTTATAAATATTTTTCTGAGATCTGGTATTTAAAAGTAATGTTAAAGCAATTGATTCAATAATAATGCAATGTTGACACTAATGAATATAATGATTATTAAATTATAGGAAAAGCAAACAATGTTTAGCTTTAAACTTAACTTTCGTTTATATAATAATTATCAATTTATAGACCACATGTATTCAAATTAGTTTTTCATTAATATACAATATTTTTACACAATGTCTTATAATTTATTTTAAATTATTAATAAATATTTTTATTATTTGTCGACAACTTTATTGATATTAAATCAATTTCATTGGATAATAATATATAGCTTTTATTATATTAATAAAATATTATAAGCACAACAAAAAAAAGTTTATACTAACATTATTGCTTCAAATATATTAATTTTGTAAAAACAATATTAAGTTACAATTTGAAAAATTTTTCACAAATTATATATAGATAATATTATATCAATTTGATTTCTATGTAATTTATAAATGAATTTTGTCTACAATTATTTGCAAACAAATATATATAGAAAACATCAAATAAGTATTATTGTAAACTAAATAAAGTTTATATACTGTAATTTACTATTGATTTCGTAAAAGTTGTAAGAAAATAGTTTTCAATCACGAAAAATGTCCTAAAATACATTGAATTTTTTTTATATTATTAATTAATTTTAATTTTAAACATATAATTACTAAATATACTATAGATTTGCACTATAGATAATTAAACATTACTGTCAAATATATTTTAATACAAATTTAAGAGATATTTATAATAATTTTTTTAAAGTGCTCATTATAAACACAATACTAAGATCATTGGTGGTCTATTTGATTTCTGTACAAATAAAAAAAAGTCAAATTAAATGTTTGCAATAATTAGATTTTAGTTGAATATATATATTGTAAGTTTCATATAAATTACATATTTTAAAGTTCATTGCTTACATTTGTTTATATAATTATATTTTATGAGCTATCTTTTGTCCAAAATTACCGCATGTATTATATGTACAAATATTTTCATCAAATTCATACATAGTTTATAAATAAAATGTATGAATTTTATAGACTATAATAAAATAAAATAAAAAGTATCTGTAAATGTAATTCTATAACTTAAGTATTATATTTTATATCAATTACATGATATTTGGTCAATCTTTTGACTTTTAATAGACCACCAGTGCTGCAAAATAGTTTACATATATGTTTATATATATGAAAATATTTAAACAAATTGAATGTCATAAAAATTTATTATCATAATACTATTATTGTATAAACTAATAATTAGATAACTAAAATATTGTGAATATATTCTTACAGATTATTCATTTATTTATACGACAACAAAATTATTGAAAATAGACTCATATTTTGTTATTTTTGTGATAAAACTTTTTTTTAAACAGACCATTACATTATAGATTAGTTGTCTTTTGAGTGTCCACTTGACTATTGGTATGATTTAAATGAAAACTATTGACAATTTGTTGATCTCTATTGGTTTGAAGTTTCAATTGTTCCTCTTTATACTCCTTAGAGTGTCTCCATTTCATACGCCGGTTCTGTCAAATAATTTATATATTAGTTTTATTAAGCATTTTATTTGTTATATACAGTGTATATGATTTTATTTAACACTTATATTGTAATCATTAAGATTCTGAAACTATAAAACTACTTTTCGACATTAGTTCAATTATTAAATATTTTATGATATTTTCCAATTGTTATTCATACTGTATGTCTATCATATATGGTATATAAATAATTTATAAATTATAACAATAAAGTTTTCTTTCAATTAAACATAATTAAATGCAAATTTATTGTATTATAAGTTATAGCTAACAATTATTAATTATTATTGTAAATCCAATAATTATTTAATTAATATCGAAGTATATATTAATAATATATAGTATTAATTGGATTAAAAAGTAATGTATGGCTGACCTGAAACCAAACCTTGACCTGAGAGTCACTGAGACTAAGTTTTTCAGCCAAACGCTGTCTTTCGGGTTTTGTTATATACTTTTGAGTCTTAAATCTGTTTTCTAAACCTCTTCTTTGATGAACCAGAAAGACAGCTCTTCCCGAGTTTTTTCTTTTAACGGTCTGATTGGCCATTGATTGGTCGCCGATCGGCACATTTGATTGATTGTATAAAGCGGTCACATTGTGATGATTGGTATATGCATTGTCATTAGGATAGCCTACTGTTTTCAAATACAAATTATTTACTCATTTAAAGTAAATGAATGACTCATAAAACAACTTATATATCATATAATACTATCTAAAAGCTTAATAGTTTTATACGATTGCCGATAGTGTTTGTTTCAAATTTTATTATCGGCTAATAATTTCATTGAATGGTTATATAACATATATAAATAATGAATAATAAATTGTATATCCCTTATAAACTATTAAATGATCCAAACAATGGCCTATAATAATAAGTCATCAGTTTTTTATGCACACATTATATACGCTTTGCTTCTTGAGCTTTGTATCGGACTAACAATAGCTGTGGCACTATATCTACACTAAACAGGACTCCCTGTGCCCACACTTATCACATATCAAATCAACAAAAATACTGATTTTCTACTTTCTATTGAATTCATTGAATATTATACTCATATATTAAATTTTGACTTTTTATGTTTGATATTAAAATCAAGAATATTAGAGATTATTTTAATGTAGTTTTTCTTTAGTATTTAAAACATAATAAAATCTGTTGACTAAATGCAAAAACATGTTTTAATATACAGTACATAATTATTTAATCGATCGATTGACTCCTAGTCTATATATAATCAACTATATCTTATAACTTTAGTATAATTATATTTAAATTTATTTTTATTATCTTTGTATACTTTATGATACAAAATTTAAATTAATTATCCACAAGTTTTATGCTTATATTAATTTTCAATTAAATAAAAAATTTAATTATGAATAAAATAACTAATAAACCTAAACCTAAGTAACAACTATTTTTGTATATGATATACAAAAAACTAAAATATGTAGAATTTTTTTCAAATTTGATTTATTATTTATAGTATTGCTATTAAATTAATACTATAAAAACTAAAATATATCTTACAATTTCGATATGAAAACCAATCGACATAATTATATGGACCCATAAATGATTGATTAATAGATATGCATTGCGAGAGATAATATGGATCCATATATTTGGCAGATATTGGATTGGGATGTGCTATCAATGATCGACTTTCAACTAAATTTGTTTTGTTRCCTAAAATATAAATGTTTATTTTATTAATCACAATTAATCATTAATATCTTTTATAATAGTTTAATATTATGTTAAATAACTATAATTTTAAATTATATAATTATTTTAATCTATTTTACCGTAACAAATCATTATAGATTTTATCAGAAAAATATAGCTATTAAAAATAAACTATCAAATAAAAAATATCAATAAATAAAATAATATAATTATATTCATCAAAAATTATAGTACAGTATTATCTTATAGTATTGTTATATTTAATAAATTTTATACTTTTTGAAAAAAATCTACAATAATTGTAATTACTATTTTGTTTAATAAAAAGTGCTAGTATATTTTAAAATCTACTTTAAAATTTTTTTTTTAAATATTAATATACCTAATTCTAATTAAAAATGATTATATTTTATAACAAAAATTCTAATTTAAAACAAATTAAATTACAACAAATTTATGATGAATATACAGTATATTTAAAGGGTTATTACATAAGTATTATAGTTATTTTAATGTCATTTAATTTCATAAATTAAAATATAATAATAAGATAATACCATTTGAATGAAAAGTTTGTTGAGTTTTGCAACATTTGTTGTCTTCAAGAATACTATCGATTGAAAATCTGACAGATTTTTTGGTATTATTTAKTGGAGTTGTCATCACTTGTTGATGACTTGTCATAACTGATTGATTCACTGGTGAAGATGTCTCTAACAACTTGTTTACTGAAAACTTTTCATTTGAAACAATTATTTTATTACAACTTTCATTATCTGTCAAATCCATTATTAACTTAGTTTAACAAGCGGTGACTAACACTTTTAAAACATATAATAAAACTTTTTTTTATTATTGTTATTGATATGAAATTTGAATACTATTTTTGTATGTATTGAGAATTTGGTGATTCAAAAAGTTTGTTGAGTCTATGGATGTCGTGCTCATGAGTGTGCCTTAATATAAGCAAACATATGGATTGGTTGGTGTACTCCCCGATCAACGCCTAAATGTAGGGTAAAATCATTCACAAACTGACAGATAAAATGTGTGTTTGTTTTTAATATAACAATTTAGTGATTTGTGCTATACTTGTGTCAATTGAACACAATTTTGATTGATATTTGCCGATATATATAGCTCTCACTACTGTTACTAATCACTTATCTCTATAACAAAAGTGATGAAAGTATTGATGACTTGAATTCTTGTCCGATAATAGACTTTACTATACTTTGTGACAATTATTTTGTAAATTCATTGAAAACATTACTCTATAGAAGTGACCGCTACTTAAGTTTTCAATTAAAATCACATTAAAATCAATTAGATATTCATTTAATTTGCAATTTTCCTCTAATTTTCACTATATGTTACACTTTTAGATTCAATGCTTCAATTAATGAAATTACTTGTGCTATAACTTACACTCTTTATCATCAATTGTGGACAATATTTCCTGTTATGATTACCAAATAGGCTATCCCTGCAAATGCATGTCAACCAAAAAGCGACCGCAAACTCAATGATTAAGAGTTGCCTCAAAATTAGTGATTAGTTAACAATCAATCATTTACTAAATGTTTACTGTAATGCCATAATTATTATTGTTTTCTAATGAACTAATTAAAAACATTATTTTTATAATTTTATTTAATTTTGTTTTTATTTAAAAAATTATGTAATTTTAAAAGTTTCAACTTATTTAATATATAATAATATGTGCAATAGTATAGGTTTTATTATTAARCAATAAAATATTTATATAATGATAAAAATTATCAGCAATTAAACGGTTTCACTATCTTTTAGGACAATAAAACAGTGATCTTCAGGAATACATTTTGCGTTAAAATTTTGCCGAATAAAGCCTTTCTGACAAAAGCAACCCTTTTTGCAGTTGTCTTTGGGATCGCAATTAATATTATCTTTATTACAAACTTTATCACAAACGGCACTACAATTGTTGTAGACTTCATTTGGAGGACACGACAGTTTGCTTTCTAAAACATTTAATTATAACAAACAATTTTTATGTCAAAATAAAACCATACCTTTAGAACACATTTCTTTTTTGACACACTTTTCAGTGCTATAGTCTCGGATGAGACCCGACGGACAAACGCAGTCAGCGATGCATTCGTGATCTTCTCGTTCATCTTCAGGACATCCTTTGGGAGGTTTATCCACATTTCCGCAGTGAATCTCACACGAAGGCGGACATAGTTTATAGATTTCATTGGACGGACAGTTCTCTGCTATTCAGAAGATTAAGGGATTAATGTTTGAATTGAAAAAAATCAAATCACTTACAACAGCGCTCCAGAGGAATACATTTGTGGTCATTGTCTTTGACATAATCGGGACTACAAACACAAGCCCTTTCTGGACAAGTGATAGGTTGGCTACACATTGTCCTCTTGATTAGCGGTCGCTGACAACTCTATATTGAAATATATTTATTAATTCAAATGCTATATACTGTATATACTGTATATTATATGATAATAGTCTTATGAATTACTGGATCGCATTTTGTCGGACAAGTAAGTTGAGAAAATAGAGGACAATGTAGACCATGGGTACCATTACTATGTATATATCGACAATCTCTAATTACTTGACACGAGTATATAATATACAATATAAGCACTTTTTTCATATTTTCAAATGTTAATTTTAATAATAATAATAATCTCACATAAATTTAATTAATCACAATAATTATATATAAAATAATTAACAATTAGTAAATAGCAATGAAAATAATAATAATTATAATAATAAGCAAAAGAAATACCGCTTTGAAATGAATTTAAGACATTCATCATTAAAACTAATACAACAATGAAATACATTATTTTTTAATAATATTTTTATCGATAGCTGGCCACTGATGCCATTCATAGCTGATATTATTACATTTATTAGAAATCTGTTTACGCAATCAATACTATTAAATATTATATATAATAATTATTTAGTTATAACCATAACGTCATTTTAATTAATGTATCAAATTTCTAAAATATATAGATCAACCATTTATTTAATAAATGATTAACAAAGTTAAGTATTATTATAATATTTGRTCAATTAATAATATATCCGGAATAATAATTATCAAATATTTATTAATTTAAGTGTTATTTTAATGACACGTTACTGTATATATTAGTTATTAACTTATTTCAAATTATATGTTGTTATTTATTTGTAATTCAATTATATTATACTGTATTATGAATTAATTTATTTTGACAGTTAAATAACTAAAGTATAATTTAACAAAATATTCTACTAATTTAGTTTAGTTTTTCAATTTGTGATATATTTAGATATTCATTATATCAATAAATTCTATGAATTATAATTATAMTTAAAAATTAGTTTTAAATTATAGAAAAAGCTTTACAAAACACACCAACGAGTTATACAAATTATATATTAAACTTGACAAATTAACCATGATACTTTAATAGTGTACAATAATTTTAACTGAAAAATCACTATTAAATATACAATACAATGTTAAAGTATCAGGCTGAATTTAGTCAAGTTAGCTATTTTTTGAATCAATAAGTATGAATAAGTTTAATTATAAACTCATAGTTTTTTATGAAATAGGTTTTAAAAATTTAATAATAATAACATATTTCTAAGTGAAAAATAATTAATATTAATATGATTAGTAAAATAAATCATAAAAACGTGTTAATTATATCGTTTTTATGAAAATACGCTAAAATGTGAACATTTTACTAATTAATCAATGGATTAGTTTTAAATATATGGTAATACAGTATTACTAATACTGTTCATAAAAATAAGTTTCCGTAAACTTGTCTAAAAAAATTGAATTATTTAATAATATTTTGGGRAAAATAATTTATTCTAACGTTTTTATATTTAATAATTGATTGCAAATTAAAATTTGTAACTACAGTAGTAAATAAAGTAAATAAATTTAAATATTAATAATATAACAATTTTAACGATAACAGTAGCGATATCTTTGGTTGAAATATAAAATTTGTTTTTAAGTTTGATGTTTTGAACAGTAAATTAAAAATATTTCTAAATATAGCAAATGTTACGATTAATTATTTATTATATACAAAAATTATATAATAAATAATAATTAGATGAAACATTACATTTAAATTTATTATAGTAACATTTAAATATTATTATGTTATATATCTATTGTAAATTTTATAATAAATATTTATATAATATAAATTAGTTATATATTAACAGTGCTATTAATAGTAATGTAATATTGTATTCAATTAGTAGTAAATTATTGAATTAAATTTACATTTGTTGTTTATACCTGTAATTTGAAAATATTAATTATATTTAAATATACCAATTACTAAAAATAATTAAACAAAAAATTTCCATCATTTAATGCATGTTGTCTTTAATTTTTCCATTAAATCAAATTACATATTAAATTAAAAAATTATAATTAAATCACAAGCTTTTGAATATCTATTACTAAAATTAAGATTATTTCAAGCAATATATGTCTCTTAGACTTATTATTTAAATTAATTAATATTTTTATTCTTATATCAAATTTGTTTTTACTAATTTATGTTTTTAATTTTTAAAATTAATTGTAAATAATTAATAATTATATCAATAATAAAAAGTATTGAATTATCATTTATTGTAGTTACAAAAGATTAATCAATATTTATATTATGAAATACTACTACTTTAGTATTATATAAAATAATAGTCAAAAATAAAATGAATGTAATTGTTAACAGATATCGCTGTATAAGTAGTTAAACGAGAAAAATATAATACTTACATATTATACAAATAAAATTATATTTTAAGTAACAAATATTATATTAAAAGTATTATATAAATAAATATAAGATTAATTGAAAATTGAGATTAACTGTATTAATTTATTATTGGTATTTATAATAATTGAAATAACAACAATATATTAGTATTTTCAATATCTTATTTGTTAAAAAAATAATTGATATCCTGTTTCTCAATGTTAAGCAATGATTAATTTAAATTTTTCACTGAGATATCCAATGTGATTATAAAAAATCAATATAAAATATTTCAATTATAATATCATATACTTTAATTTATGCAGAAATGTCTCTTTATAATTATATTGATTGAAAAATAACTTAAATATGCAATTGTTGTCGTGTTTAGAAAGCATCACATTTATTAATACAGTTAAGTTTATTAGATTTTTTTCAACGATCGGGTTATTTATGCCTATCTATAGTTTGCATTATTTATAGTTTGATTACAAGGATGCCCTCAATTAAATAGTTAAGATAAGTGAGGAAATGACTTAAATGAATAAATAAGAAATATATGTGTTTGGCATCAATGCCTTAAAAAGCAAAATCTCGACAATTTGTCATATTTTTGACGGGAAATAACATAACTGTTTGCCAGAGATTTTTGCGTATATTATGGTATCAATTATGTGTTAATTCGTATTTATTGAATAATTTACATCAAATAATTGTCTGTTTCTTATGATATTTATTTTCTTAAATATTAAAAAAATATCTTATCATACAATTAATAGAAATGTGAAACTAATTAACAATTAACAATACAATTAGTAATCTTTCTTCAAATAAGTCAAATTATTGTATTATTTAAAGTGTTTAAATAATATATAACTCAAATCTAAAAAATACATTGTTATTAGTTTTATCATTATATTATTTATTGTTATCTTTGTATTAACAAAAATGTAATAAATATCTAAGAGGTCTTAATCTACACTTTAGTAACTTATTATTAGTATTACAATTAGTTATTATTATACAATTATTTGGATCGATATTTAATATAATAATTGATTTGCTAAGTATTGATTGTAACAAAATGTCATTAAACAGCAAAACATTTTTGTGTGCATTTCAATGATATCATTAATAAAATACAACTCATATCTCGATTTGATTTGTTTTGCAATGTTTTAGGTTTATATATATATATATATATATATTTATACATATTTACTGAGAGACTTGATATGAATGTACTTATCATAAGTTTAACAGTAGGGCTACAAAAGTTTATTCAAATATTTTGTGTGTATTAAAACAAATGTTTCTTATTATTGGTATTTTTTTGATAATATTATGATATTATTACTGCTATTATGGAATGTGTAATCTATAGACAAAAATAGTTTCAAATTACACTTTTTCTTATGAATAATTATTTTAAGGATCAAATCATTTTTCATGTAAAATTGTTGTTATTTGAATAAACATTTGTATTTTATTTCAGGCCATTTAATAAATAGCTAATTTCCAACTAACAACAATGTAATTTAAGTCAATTTGAATTTAAACTAAAAAAATGTCATCAATTATAATTTTATAAACAATTAAAAATATCAACTTTAAAAAAAATTCGTCTTATACTTTGATCTAAATTAGTAAATAAATAATAATAAATAAATACAATTTCGACGCTTAAGACAATATTTTGACAAAAATCATAAATATATATATTCTCTATAATACTTACATACAGTGCGTAAATAATATCTTCAAAAGTCGTTTTGAAAATAAATATTTTATAAGTTATGACTTAGCGATAAAAATCAATAAAAACAAAGTTTCGTTTTCAATATAAAGTTTTAATATTTAATATAATAAATAGACAGTAATTTAATAATTTATTTTTTTAATACAAGAAAAAGGTTAACATCTTTTAATTATATCAATAATTATATAATAATAATAATAATAATAATGGTAATATTTTTAATAATTATAAATTTTAATTAACTATTATTTGTAATATTTATATAATAATATTTTTCAGTAAATTTATTCACATAATGAAAGATAGATTTTTGGGAATTAATTCATTACTTAATAAATTAAGATTATATAATAAATTGTATGCATTTTCATATAAATGATACGATTATGTGTGATATGATGTTTGACTAGTATTTATTGTTGTTATATAATAATAATCTTTAATATTAACTTTTATGTCATAACACTCAATGTAAGTTCAAATATTTAGTTAATATAATTATTATATTTTGTTTTGATATGTGCTTTGGTCACCAAATAAATATATATTTATATCTGTATTACAAAGCAAACAATAATTATAAGGAATGTATGACTAAATCTGATTCAATCAAATATCAAACGTTAAATATATAAATATTAAATAAAAATGTTTATTTGTAGCAATTATGCCAAACTATTTTTAACACAACTTTGGTCTAACTAGCCTTACGTATGCCGTCTATATAATCAATGACTATAAATAACAGGCAATGAATAATAATAATAATAATCTATAATTGTTTTATTTTACAATTGATATTGACATTGATTTGTTATGTTATATCAATGAGTGCTTATAATTAAGCTCTAGAAGTGCTGTTTGATTGAATTATCGGGAAATTTCTTACATAACACTATAATACTGTTTATCAATAGATGCATAGAAATATACTGTACACTTGTTATATATTATATATATCGATATTTATATAATTATAATATAATGTATAACATATGATAATGTATTTTAAATTGTGTTTTTAAAGAGAAGGCATTTTTGTTCGTTTAAATTATGTAATCATAAGTGTAATCAATAATAATATAATAATAAAAATGTGGTTATATCTCAATAAAAAATAATATAGGTAATGACAAAAAATAATAATATTTAAATATCTATATATACAGGTATATATGTGTGTGTATTTATATAAATGTTAAATATATATTACAAATAATTTTTTAGCTCAATAAAAGATAAAGAAAGATGTGTGCATTGTATGTATGTRTGTGTGTGTGTGTGTGTGTGTGTGTGTGTGTGTGTGTGTGTGTGTGTGTGTGTGTGTGTGTGTGTGTGTGTGTGAATCAAATTGTAGAAAAATATTTTATAAATATATGTAAATGTAATTAATAAGCACATCATATGATGGGTCCAATCAACTAATCGGAGCTTATGTCCAATAATATGAGTGACGACTAGTCTTCACTCATCAATTTTTTTATAATCAGTTTGACTTAACTATTTTAAAATTATTTTTTACACAATTAATAATAATTATATATTATATAACTATATAAACACCGGACGACTAGCGATTTAATTTTTATATATATATATTTATATAATATGTTATGAATTGACTTAATCTTTTGGTTTAGCTATAATTTTTTTTATAAATTATGTGTTTGTTATATATTTATATATAATTTAATATATATATTTATAATGTTATAACAATTTATTTAACAAAAAAGTTTATAAATGTAAATTTTCACTAATTTTTTAGCCCTAATTCAAATGACTCAATGATAATAACTTGTATACAATTTGGTTTATGATTTGTTTTCATATGTTGTTATAAAAGGCACGACTTCTTGTCAAATGATATGAATTGTCAATTCGTGTTATGATATGATTACCTCATCAATAGGCTATCAATATATTTGATAGCAAATTATTATTATTTTTATAAATGACAATAATTTTAGAGTTTATAAATTTACAATTAAGCCTTTGTCTTTAAATTAATTGTTGTGCAGTTATGGCCAGAAAAGCAACCAATAATTTGTAAAATTAATAAATAAGGGTTCGGACGGTATATTCAAATGATATCAAATATATATATATATATATATTGTTTATACTACTGATTTGAAAAAGTGGTGATTCATCCCTAAGCCAATGAATGGGAAGTCCTTATTCGAGTTGTTCCAAAAAGTTTGGTGACTTGAAATACTCGGGAACGTTGTCATCGAGTCGGGCAATGATCTTATAGATAGCCTTTTTCCACGACTGTTCCGTGTCTTTACCCGATTGTACGGCTTTGAAGAATTCGCGTAATGTCTGTTCGCTAACATAGCGGAAGTTTTCGGGAACCTATGGTAACACATAAAGTAATATAAATACAATATATAAATAATCATTAAATAAATAAACTTTTTTTAGTCACATTAATTAACTTGTAAAAGAAATTTGAAAAACATATTAATTTTGTTGTTTGTGTAACTAAATTATGTGTAATTCAATGCTTGTTTATAATAAGACTTACATCGATATGATTATTGCGGTTATAGTGAAGGTTAAGGACTCGGAGCAGTTCGGAGTCGTGGCTGACATGTAGTTCCTCTGGATTTTTGATGCCCTCACTCAGTGACTGTCGCGCATACTTTTCCATTTGGATGTAATAAAACTCTCTGTTTATATAAAATAAAAAAGAAAATACATTGTTTAGTAATGTTAGAAAAATGTCTATAATATTTCAAAGTAGATATCATATTATGTTTTAAAAATTAAATATATACTAAATCATAAAACAATATACAAAATAATAATTAATGAGTTTTAAGGTATGAAACGAAATGAAATGAAATAAGCGAATACAATACATGTATGTGAATGTAATGAGAAATCTGTATTAATTTTTTTCAATTAGTTATATTTTGTAAAACAATTTATTTTATTATAGCTGTGTGTTTACATGAATTTATATTATATTCAAAAATCATTTATTATACGCTGAGATTGTAATAATATAACGAAAGAGTTATGTCTAATAATTAACGCTTTTATCAAAAGGTTTATACTATTCAAAGGTTTATTAAAGGGACGGATGTAATGCTAATGTTTAGGTTATAAGTTATGATAAATATTAATAAAAATCGATTATACGGTTAAAATATAAAGGACTGACCCAAAGAGGAAATACATTTACAGAATATTACAAATCTCTATTTCGTATGCCTTTTCATAGCACTGTTATGTCCTCTTTATCTTTTACATTAGTCTTGTATTATATATACTAATAAATATCGATAATACTGTCATATAAATAGTGTTGATTATTATAAAGCAATGACTAATTAATCAAATCTCATTAAAGAAAGAGAGCCCAAACACTGACTCCCAATGTCTATACCAGTGCTGTCACAAACACATCGATATTTTTAGTCATGGGGTGAGACATATTCAATCATAGCTAAGATAGTGTTGGCAATCCCTTTAAAACGACTGGTGCCTTATTGGGTGGTAATATTGTATATATGGCTATACATTAAAACACATTGTTATGTGTTAAACACAATTATTACATGAAATTAAAATTGCAGCCAAAAATAATTTAAATAGAAATCAATGAAATATCTCATAGAAATCTATTGTTTCTTTCAATGCATTTGCATATTCATTGGTAAATGAATTTCTCTATAATGAAGTGTAAGTTTGCAGTTATCATAGGAAAGGGCTGTTTTATAAGTGTGAAGCAATCAGTTTAATAAATATAAGGCTCTTATCTGAATAACATTTTTAAATCCTAAGAAAAAGCAGATAATAATGGGAGGCATCGTATTAGACAAAGGGATTAGAGATGAGAGATAATATGCATAATGAAAGTTAACTTACAGTATATACTGTATATATCATATATACGCTATATATATATATATATATATATATATATATATATATATACTGGTATATACTGTGTGTACTCAATATTAGTATAATATTATGATTATATAATATATTAAGCACTGTTAGCACAATCATTAGTTAGTGAGCCTTTTGCCAACACTTTTAATGGTTAAAGAAGAGACTCCAAAATAGATGGGCTAACGATTCAAATAGTTTTCCGACAAACAAGAGCACAGAACAGACAATATTAGACAATATTAAACATTATATAACAATATTAAACAATATATAACCCCTTATTATGCTGTTATTATGCTTTTCTTATTGCACTTTTATATTGTCCTCAACTAATAATCACTAATGTCTGCCTATGTTATGGATATGCCTAATGTCTAAAAACTAAGGCTAATGTGCATTATTACTGATAAGAGATGCCAAAAGGCTTATGGATGCAACTAATGAGTTGACTTACCTGATTAGCCTTCATTTACACTAAACATTTACTTAATATTAGGCCTTACATCCCATACACATCCCATTCATGTATAATATCAGAGTTGTTACAAAAGTAATCATTTGTCAAAAATCAAACTAATCGTTGATTGTAACAAAAATGGTCTACAATTAACCATTTCTACGATACATATAATTTCTATATATTGACTATTATTTGACATCATATTGTATTCATATTGTGTTCATTAATAATACATGAATTGAATAAAAGTTTCTCATTGTTTACGATTTCCTTGTATTCGTAATAAACATTATTATCGCATATCTATTGCTCACTATTATGTCTCCTCTTATTCTCTCATTTGGCAAATAGTATTAGTTATATACTGTATATAAATTTATGGCAAACATATTAATTTGATTGGACATCCAAGTGCTGATCACACACCTGGCCTTTGAGGCTAAGCAGAGCATATCAAGCAATTCATTGCCAAATATGCATATATATGTTGCATATATTTAGATTCTGTTGGCATACAAGAGATAGATGTACCACAAGTAAAGTATGCGATATATGAAAGAGGGAGAGAAAGAGAGAGAGAGAGAGAGAGAGAGAGAGAGAGAGAGAGAGAGAGAGAGAGAGGACAGACATGTAGGCATAGGTAGTATAGAGCACAGCATCCCGTTCCCGTTTATTCATCAGTTTTCGGATATTGAGTTTTGTTTCTCATTCTGTAGACCGTAACCGAGTGCTCAGTATTGCCAGAGCACTGGTAGATATACATACAGTATTTGTACAGTACGTGAAAGTTTCATATCTCGATCACATTAAGGKCTAGACTTCCCCTTTTGGCTGCTTTGCAAATTGCAATACTAATAGGACAGGCATTTGTAATATTGGGCCAATACATCCTGATTAGTAAAGCACTGATATACAGCTGCCTTTTATTTTAAGTGAGACATTGCAATGTGTGGTGATATACGAAAACGCCCGACAAATAAACTAAAAACTCATACTTTTGTCATACAATAGTCATCCGCTCAACAAATAAAATGTTATTTTTGTTGATTATATGACTTGTGATGCAAGAGTACAGAGAAAAGGAGTATCACTACTATAACACTACTACTTGCTATTTGACAGCACAGGTATAGGCGCTCGTGTTTGCCCTGTTTTAGTCGGATATCCGTACCTCTTCATTGACTTGCGATATACATATACTCTCGCCTTATATTATATAAGTCATGTCATAAAAAACAACAACAACTACATGACCGCAACAAACACTTTGTTTTGCATAAAAAAGAGCTCAAAAAGTCTATTTAAAGCCCAAAAAACTCTTTTGGATTGACTTTATTCAGGAATTCAAACAATTCAATGAATGTATTCAATGTAGTCGTCATTTCTCATTAGTGAACATCCGCTTAATTTAATACAATCTGTCGCTAAATAAAAACTCTGAATATAATCTATTTTATACATTAAGATTAATATAATAAATAAATAATAATAATAATAATAATAGAGAGAGAGAGAGAGAGAGAGAGAGAGCGAACGAGGGAGAGAGAGAGAAAGAAAGAGAGGCTAACTATCCCATGCGCTAAATCATTGAAAAGCATAAATTAAATGCCACTATTGAAGGGCATTCATAACAAAACAATAATTGTTGTCTTAATTATTTATGAATAAATGGATGATTTTTTTAGTAAAAATGCATAGAAATAATGAATATAAATTTTTGTGACTCTTACCTAAAATTGGAGAACCATTTGACCAGTTGTGCCGTATTATTCTTATTGAACTTAATGTCCGGGAAAAACATCTTAAGAATGGCAGAGCTCGGGTACCGGACGAAGAAGAACATCAGTTTGGCTTTCCTCAGATGCATTGGTGTCAGAGTACTGGTGTGCACAGGAGTTAAGGAAAAATTGACATAAAGTTTGGCATAATTTAATCTATATTATCATTTTGTATCAAATGATAATTTTTTATATATAAAGTTAAAAAATACAATACACAGATCGCAAACATTGTTTTACAGACTCGTGAGACTACATAACAAATCTCTTGCAAGGCTTTCAAAAACTAATATATGTTTTATGTCAATATTTAAAGGAAATTAAATAGTATTTTATAACGTTTAGCTATGAATTAAAAGTGAACTAAATATCTTTTTTTGTGATAAAACTAATAATAAAAAACATTGCAAAATACTTTCGACTCAAATAAGGAATTATATTGACTTTTAGTGGATTATTATTTGCTTAAAATAGTGATAAATTCAATTGTATTAGTAATACATTTGTTATAGACTTCAAGCAAAACACTTGCGATTGTATTGTATTTTTTAATAAAAACAAATTCAATTGAAAAGGATATCATAGGCATAGATGGGTCGTACACTTGGGTTTCGTTGGTTTCAGAGCCATCATTGCCATTGTCTGAGCCACCCCTTCCGTATTGAAGCGATGATATTACAGATCCCGGATAACCATGCAATGAATCGGGTGAAGCGCGACTCGCGGCCAACATATGCAAGTGATGGGCAGCGGCCGCGTGAGCCACAGCTGAGGCCACGGCCGCCGAATGACTTTTGTTGTCGCGATTTATTTCAGAATCGTCGCCAAAAAGACTGAGACGCGGATGATCTCCAAACGGAAAATTTCCGGTAAATATTTCATTTTGATGAAGACTTGGATTAGGAATGGCCACAGAGGTAGGCAAAGATACGGGCACTAGAGGTGGTGGTGGTTGAGATGGACCGTGATTTTGATAATTTAGTGAACTGGGAGGCGATAGCGATGAGGTTTCCCTATTGTTGCACATTATCATAGAATCCTGACCTAAGAGACGACTAACAGTGCGCGGAGTAATCCGAGTGTCAGTAACCTTATGGCGTTTCCTTTTGGGTGCCACTACTAAAGCCATGGCCTCTGTCTGTTCGGGAAGGGGTTCGTCTGATCGGTTAAAAAGATGAGAGTTTGAGTGGCCATTAGTATTGCCCGAAACATCTCTATTGCTGTAATTGTTTGATTGTTCATTGCGTTGACTCAAACTCGAAGCAATGCTATTGAAATGTTGTGCCAAAGCTGTTGGGATGAGTGCTGGCTGTTGAGGCATCTGAGCGCCTGTCGGAGCAACACTTGGTATAAAAAAGGGAGACTTGAAAGCGGGTGTCGGGAATGAAAATGGTGTCGGACGGGGTGCCGGTGCTGTCTCAGTGGTAAGACTGTATGGACTTCCACGAGATAAATGTCCGTTAAGATTGGTTTTTGGAGTGTTGCCTATAATAGTGGCTCCAATGGCCGCTCCTCTATCAATAACCTTAGTTCGGGGAGATTTTCGGTCCAACATTTGCGACAAAATTGTGATTTCATTTTTCGAGTCATTTGAATCAAAATGTAATTTCTGGTTTGTCTGTCGTTTCAAATACTTAGCAAATGTATTGTCAATTATTTGCATAACTGATGTCTGGATATCGCTTTTAAGTGACTCAATGAGCCAATCCATGTCAGGTACGGGCGCTAAGCCAGATGTGCGTCCGATGAGACGCTCAGACTTATTGGCAATTTTTTCCTGTTCTGCAATCAGACGACGCGCTTCGTTCAAGAAATGCGAGGCATCGCTAGTGCTGTGGTTCGGGTTATTAGCGGTTGGCGTTGCGTTAGCACTGGTCAGTCCACTCAATTGAGAAACAGGAGTAGTCGGTCCCTTATCTGATGCCATTTCTTCCATTTCAGTATCGCTTTCGGCCGATATTCCAGCCGCAAGATTGACAGGACTGGCAGTTAGAGATAATTGTTTCTGATGTTCGGCTAATTGTTGCGCTTCAAACAGTTGGACATACCTTTGTCTCATTGCCACTAACTGTGATTGCATGTCCTCGAGTTGACGCCGAAGATTATCCTTGTCCTCTGTTTTTGCTCTTTTAATTGACAAATCAATTTGATTGACCAGATCTTCCTCATCGTCTTCTTCATCGGCCAAGTATTCAATTTCTTCGTACTCATCACCCGAACCATTGAGTTTGCTCTGCTGTGGCTGATATAGCTTACGTTTTTTGCATCCATTAACAGATATGTTGCCACCTTTTAGACCACTAATTGGTGATCCATTTCCTCCTAATAACATATTAGATACAATATTTTCAACGCGAGCTCTCTTAGCGTCAACGTTTGGACGGTTGTGTTGTAGTGGGGATCCGTTAGGTGAAGGAGATCTTGAAGACTGAATCAACAACTTGTTGTGATCTTTGACTGAAACACTTTGATCAATAGTGTTAGTCGTTTGATCCATGCCTTCATCATCTCTAGTATGAGAGCGTTCGTTCTCCTCCTCGTCGACATCGGACGCATCAGAGCATTGAGAAAGTCCTCCCTCTACTACTTGTCCTCCCTGTGCTACTTGTCCTCCCTCTACAACTTTGTTATTTCCGGAGCAGTTTTGTTKGCTCGGCTTCGTTTGGTTTGATTGGTCAACCTCTTCATTATTTTCAGCCACTTTTCTGCCAGTTTGGAGAATATCGCGTAACAGATGAGCGCCGGCAGTATTAGCGATATCAGACACAGGACTCTTTGATGACAAATAACTGGCACTCGTTTTGTTAAAACTATAGTCTAATTCAGATGAATGACTGCTCTTATTATTATTATTCAAACAATTGGTTGAGTTATTGTTATTAAGAATTGAATTATTATTGGCCTCAGACTTGAGTCCAGTGATTGACAGCCCATTTCCACCTCCGTTGACAAAAGGAGAGGCAATGAGTCCGGCATTAATAGCGCCGTTGACACACATTTGCATAACTRCTTCATCCGTAACAATCATATCTGTGTTACCTTTAGATGAATTGTTGTTCTCAGAAGACTTAGAGATGAGATCACCGATGAGTTTATTACTGACACCGTTGTTGTACGTATGATATGGAGTGAGATGATTGAGATAACCTCCTCGTGAAGAGAAGTTGGCAATACTGGCGTAACTGTTTCTCGGTTCTCCCGCATCCACTCTCTGACGAGTTCTCTTTATTTTACAACCTTTTAAAGACTGGTCTGATATGACATCCATAGAGGAGTCTTCTTCCGACGACATCACGTGACGTCTGGCAAGGCTTATGACTGGACGGAACCACTGATGGAAAGAAAACGACGACTCACTCGAAGCAATTGTGATGCACTCAAGTATGTCCACAATTAAAGGAAAAGGCGTTTAAGACATCCCTTCCTTTCACTTAGAGATGCGTTTTGTAGGCTTTGCTACTATTTAAGGGCCAAAACACTGGGAAGATATGAGTTGTTTCTAAAAAAATACATTAAACAAAAGTCCAGGTGTTAGTAATAGGTATGCTATGCCCGCAGGCTATGGCACTCATGTATATCATATCATTACGCTTATGGCACACATAGGACTCACTTTTTAAAAATAATTATTGTTTAAAGGCTTACATAATGACTAACAATATATGGATATAGAGAGCGATCAGATGAAACACACACTTAAACTAATTCATTGATTCAATGCATTCATTGCATCACAACTTTTTCATTCACTTTTAGGGTTTCAACGTTTGAACTCTCTTTACTGTTATACTTATGTCTCCAAACAACAGACTAACAGCACATATACTAAACATAACTGTTAACAAACCAAACGGTATTATAAAGAGAGGGAGAGAGTGAGTGAGTGAGTGAATAAACGAATGAATAAATGAATCAATGAGTGGGTGAGTGAGTGAGAGAGAAAGTAATCATTAATGCATAGCTTTGTATTAAAAATGTATATAAAAAAGTTAAGATGAGAGCCCAGACCCACACACCCGTAGATTACACATCATTGAGACTAATATAACAGTTCATATGATAGACGTCTCTCTTTAAACACACAAACCGTTAGTGAAATGAACCACAAAACACACCAACTCTTAATATATTATATGAAGTTTATATTAAATGAAATGAGAGGAGACATCGAGGGATAGGTCGTGTTGTGTGAGAAAAAAAAGAGAGAATAGATTGAGTGAGTGAGTGAGTGAGTGAGTGAGTGAGTGAGTGAGAGAGAGAGAGAGAGAGAGAGAGAGAGAGAGAGAGAGAGAGAGAGAGAGAGAGAGAGGATCGGGAGATCACAGATGTGTAGCGTTAAAGTAGTGGAAAAATCGTTGTTCGAGATGATGATGATGTGATCCCTTTCCTGATCTATGTTTTTCGTTGACTTTTATTATCATTTATTGTTTTTTATATTAATAAAAACGAAATTTTAACGATTCGTTTAAAGTTATTTAAATGCATATCATTTTTCTCTTAAAAGAAATAATATCTAATAAAAAGTAAAATATGTTTTTATTCATTAAACACTTTTTAGTCAATACATTGATGAAGAAATATTTATTAACTAAATATTTAATAAAACAAATCAATAAACAATAAAATAGTTAATATTATATTCAACACTGACTTAAATTGAATGCCAATAAAGTTATTTTAAGAAAGGAAATGCAGTTTACAATAGAAATACAATGTATTATAATGTAATTTAATGTAATGTTTGCATAAATATTATTTTAAGTAAATTGAATACATATTAGAGAGTCGTAAGCAATGAGCGCCGGATGGATGTGATAGTGATAGCATTGCTAACCCCATAATTGGCTATTTCTTTGCTATCGTATTGAATAATATAAAAACTATTAAAAAAAAGTTAAGTCTGTCGTGTCATTTGTTTTTTAATGAGTCAAATAAAGCTATAAATCAATTATAAAAAGTTAATTTTCTTGAAAATAGGGTTTTGATTGTCGTCGGGGTCCGTCTCCCCTCTCTATGTGTGTCTCAATGATAATATAGTGGAAATATCGGCACAAATAAGTTTTTAGTGAACACACACTTCCTTCCTTTGAAACAACAATTACAATATAAGCGCAAAGAAAACGAGGGAAACGCTAAGTAAGTAGCGGTAGGACTTGGAAGGCATACATACATACATACAGTTTGAGCACTAGTAGCACAATAAATGGCACATAAACAAGAATTTAGTTGTTGTGCTGTCGAGATAAAGGCGAGGGTAGGCTCTCAACAACACATACATACACAACAACCTAACAGAGCATTTAAACGTGGCTTTGGATGGAAGGAAGTGAGAGACAACCGTAGATTACGCCTCAAGAATTACAAGAATCACTGCAATCATATCAATCCTGGGAACATCCCGTATACATACATATATACCACACTTACATTACTATCTCTTTCCCTTTTTTATATTATTTGCTATTGATTTTACACTCAGGATATCAATGTATGTGTGCTCTCCCTCCCTGTCCCCACTTTTATTGAAAAAAGACAATCGGTATTAAAAAAAATTTAGTTAAAACTAAATTAAACTTTTCAATACTAATATAACGATAATGTAGTCAAATGTCATACAACTTGTAGAGCAATAACACTGTATGAACTCTCAAAAGTACCGAAGCAACCAAAATGCAGATAAATATGTGATTTAAAAACTATATTACCTTTGAACGGAAATATGTATTGGAAATACATAAAAAAATATCACATATTATGTTTGCTTTAAATAAAAATATTGGTCATTGGCCTCTATTCTCTCTATTTTATATCATTTTAATTGAATTTAAATTCAAAAGTAATTGTCCTTTTGTTTTACAATTGCACTTCATTATGATTATTGATATTAAAGTTTTGCAAACAATTGAATTTAACGTGAGTTTGATATGTATTTTGATTGCTTATCACATTTATATATATATATATATTGTATGGATAGTTGTTGACCGGTAAAGCCCAGAGAGTTAGTCAAATATAGTGATAGTCAAACAGTTTGATTGTTACACCTCTTATAATGGAATTAGACTACAGTTATATCATATCGAGAAAGTGTGTTAAACATTCATTACATATATTACACACATATATATACAGTATGTATCAATGATATCGTATTTCTTATAACAAAACCATACAAAAGACTTACTGCACGACACCCTTGGATGTATGTATGCACAGTATGTTTATGTACTGTATATATGTGTGTATGGGAAGGGCGTATTTGCTTGAAACTACTGATTAAATTATATTATATTAAATATATATATATATATATCAATACAATTTAGGTACTTATAAGTCGATCACCAATTTTTTCAATAAGTTGTGAATTTCATCACATCCTTAAGGGATGCCATACAATGCCTTAATAAGAATTTACTGATAATTTTGTTTCAAAAGCTATCGACGGGAAGGGAAGGGAAGACGAGTGCAGTGAACACTATATGGCAAATATTGAGAGGACATGGAGTGAGAAAAAAGTGATATTATTTGAAATCTCGATCAATGATCAATGATTTGCTTATTATTGATTAGTGAACGCGATTCTGCATAACACAAGTCAATGATACGCATACCCATGACTAAGACATTACATGACATTTAATACTAACTATTAAATGGCATTTATTATTAGTATTTTATTGTTAGACATAATCAGCATTTGCTTCAAGTGTTGACTGTTGTCTTCAATCATAACAAATATTCGGTTCATTCATGTCATAGCATTAGGTCTTTCATTAATTTTTGCCACAACTTTGCATTAAATGTTCACAAAATTAATAACTTAAGCAACAAATGATATTAAATTGCTTTTCAAAAAATGCTTTCGCTATCAATATATCAAAAAGTTTTTCAAACAATGTTTCATATATACAGTAATTTATATTTCACAATACATTGAAAATTATTTTTGCTCTCTTTCTTTAAATATTTGCTTATTAGTGAAAAATATGTTTGTAGTTAAGCATAAAAAGAAACTATAATATTATGGATTTGAGAAAACCCATAAACTAAGTAACGTTTTTTGGTCGTGTTTAGTATAAAACTTTAGTTTAATAAATATTGTGTTTGAAAAGTGTGTACAAAATCATACACAACACACATAACACATTCATGAAAATAATTTCTTTTATTAGGCTATTAATTAACATATACTTCCTTTTGATTTCATAAATTATATTAAAAACTTTTTTTTTGTAAAAATATATATTTGAAATATAAAGCTAATATCTAAAAATTAATTAATATCGAGTATAAAGTTTAGATCTGACATAAAAATTAATTGCTAACAAATGTTTTTCGTAAAAGTTATATCATATATAAATATAAGAGAAAAAGTAGCGATTAGTTAAATAAAGTGTAAATTCTTTGTTTGAAATAAAAATGAGATTCAAAATATACATATAAGCATAAACAGTACAGTATATACTATATATATATATATTTACAGAAAGCATAGGTCATTGTTATTATTTAGTAAATTGAATAGTAAAACATAAACTTACCAACTATTAAACTATGCATATATTGATGTTGTTTTGACATCAAATATAACAATCAAATAATTGTTTTTCATTTGTATTATTTGCGAGTTGTTTACGGATAAAATGTGTGTTCAAATGTGGTATTGTTTGTGTAGTGAACATATTAAAACATTATATAATATAAAAGCATTATATTATAAATAAATATATATAGATATATCTTGTACTATGAATTGAGCAAAAAATAAGAGAATATAAGGAGAGCCTAATGTTGGGGTCTGTAAGCGTGCTATGAAACCACCTGTCAATATGTTGTAACAGAAATTAAGTTTATTTAATATTATTTAAAGTTTTTTATTATCATTATTTTGTTGTTCCACTAAATCATTTACATTTTCTCTCTTATTTTTTTGCTGTTTTTTTTATTATAATTTAACTTCAAACACACACTCACAAACAGTCTGTACTAAAATAACAACATTTATAATAGTCTTAAAATAAAATTATAATATTCAAAATATAATGATTAATTCACTAATTTATAACAAATTCACTAAAATTAGTTTTTTGACCAAATTATTATAACTATATTACTTAATACAATTAATAGTGAATTAGTTTATTAATAAAATACATTAATTAAAGTGCACGCTCTCACTAACTAAATGACTGTGCAATATATTATATTATAAGACACATATAAAAACCTGTGAGTTAAAAGTCTCAACGAAAGCCTTGAAACTAAGTATTAAATATATATATAAACAATAATACAGTATATAAAAAGTTAAGTTATATCACACTTAAAGTGTCTTTTTATCTAAAGTAACATAAGATTTAAGACAATAATAAATTTGTGTGTTTATGTGGTAACTGTGAATGAATTTAATAAAATCATAAAATTGGGTCAATAGTTATGCTTTTGTAACGACAGAGACAACTATAGTAGAGTTACT